TTAGCTTCGAAAGCATTCATCAGCGAAGATATGAAACGAAGTTCATCATCAATGAAAAAACAACGGTGTAAGTATAAAAATTTCCCGTTTTATTGTTTTCCCCGCCTAATACATGGTAGTTAATCGGTTGTTAGCTTTCCTTCGCGCCTTGTTGAAAAATTCTATCTATTTCTCTTTCAATTCGTCTAATCTAATCAAATAAAGTTATTCTTACAGGTATACAGAAATATATTGATAAAATTAATTATTCGATTTCTTTAGATCATAGTCGAACTTCTGAACATTCAACGCAAAAATTAAATAAACAGGTATGAATATATACGTATGTCTATTATTGCATGACTAGAGATCGATATGCAATGCGATTGAATTAGCTTTCATTGAGGAAACATAGTCTGTTCTTCTTTTTCTTCTAGATCACTCTCTAGTTGTACTAGATTTTTCTGTACGATTTCGCCTTATAGATGATGCTATGCTTTTACATTAATTGATCGATCCATCATCGATTTTCTTTGTATTTTGATTACTACATCTCCGTTATCGTCGTTGCTGGATTTCTTTCTTCTATCTTATTTATCGTCTATCACTGATACAACGCATTCCGTACAAGAGCAAAAACGCCATCAACGACAACGACGACATCCATCATTAGTATAGAAAACTGAAAGAGAGAAGACGCGGTTCGTACTCGATGAAGGACATGTGATCAATGCATTTATCGATAAATCAGTCTTCTTTGTTTCTTTTCTTGTCATCATCATCATCATCATCATCATCATCATCATCATCATATTTTTATTTCATTATTTGATTATTATTTACTTTTTCAAATTCATATTATTATCTACTCAGTTATTTTAAAAAAATGCGAGCACTACAGGTAATTAGATATTTTTCTTTTGTCTAGTCGTTATCCGATAATCTAATTGAAAAGAAAACTATTGCCCATTTTCATTCGATTACGCTCCAGTATATATTATTAGTTACATATCAACAGAAACCAACTACACCAATAGGAGACTTTGTACATCTATGTGTATGTAGCATAAATATTTTTTCGCGCTACACATAAACAAGGAAACTAATAAACGGATGGCCATAATATAAGATTTGTGTATCTATTGCCGGGAGACAAACAGCTGAAGTCAATGAGTTAAGGGAACAGCAAATGCTAATCAGTTTTTTTGTTTGTGTGCGTTCAGTCAGTATTTCTTCTTTTTGAGAAAAAAATGTCGATATGTCACAAATGTCAAGTAAAAAACGACTAATCGAAATATCTGTTTCCTGTCAACTTCGCTTGGACGAGTGTTGTTGATCAAGACTGTCGAGATCGGACAAGCTGACTTGCTTTCGATTCTTATTCTGGATGAGAAAGTATTTAATAGAATATATGCAAATCAACTAAATCTCTATCTATGTTATTATCAATGGAAAATGTGTTTTCTTTTCTAAAATTGAATTAATTAATATTGAATTTTATTTTTCAAATTTCTGAAATTGATTAAATAAGAAAAGAACAGTGATACATATATAAGAAGAGAACTGATGCATAATCAAACAAAAGAAAAAGACAAAAGCGTCAGCTCGGCATGGCATCAGCCGGGTTCGGGTTTGGATTCTTTTTCTTTTTGCATATACATACAAAATGATGATCGGATCTTGGCATGTTTACAAGGTATCAAGAAGACTATTTCTTATATCGAGAATTATCACATTCATTTTTTCAATATCACAGATATATACATATATATATATATATTTGTTCATTGCTAGGTCTTAAGCCCAACTTCCAATCAATCTCAAGAATTACTTGATAATCAACAAACCGAAGACGAATATTACTATAGTGAAATGGCTGCATTCAATCGACAAAATGGAAATTCAAGCGAAACACGATCGATGGGTGGTGGGAGTTTTACAGATGATGATTCAAATCTATCAGATAAAATTCGTACTAATTTAATAATTAATTATTTACCTCAAACAATGACTCAAGATGAAATCAAAGATTTATTTGGTACCATTGGTGCTATCGAATCATGTAAACTCGTTCGAGATAAAACAACAGGTCAAAGTCTTGGTTATGGTTTTGTTAATTTTATTCGTACAGAAGATGCTGATAAAGCTGTTAAAACAATGAATGGTCTTCGATTACAAAATAAAACGATTAAAGTAAATTTCTTCTAGCTTTTTCTTTTGAACTAAAAACTTGAGAGAAGATACAGGTATCTTTTGCACGGCCGTCATCGGAAACAATTAAATTTGCTAATTTATATATATGTGGTATACCAAAACAGTGGACAATGAAAGAACTTGAAAATTATTTTACTTCATGTGGAAAAATAATCACAAGTCGAATATTAACAGATTCTAATACAGGTTTATTGAGAAAGATGTTTTTTAGACAAAAAAAAAGACACACAAGCGATCTCTGCTGCTTATTGAATATGATTTTATTTATTTTCTTTTTTTGTTTTGATTTTATTTCAGGTTTCTTTTGCTCGTCCCTCTTCGGAGTCAATCAAATTTTCCAATCTTTATGTTTCCAATCTCCCATGTTCGATGACTCAGCAGGAACTTGAGAGTATGTTTGCTGATTTTGGTTGTATTATTTCGTCGAAAATTCTTTGCAATCCGAAAGCAGGTAGACAAACGATATTTGAGATCGAACGGCATGTTTTCGCTTATTTCGCCTGATTTCAATTTAGAAATAGGATTTCTTAAATAAATTTTCTTTTTTCAAGGTGCATCAAAAAGTGTAGGATTTATTCGTTTTGATCAACGTTCAGAAGCCGAAATGGCGATTAGTAAACTCAATGGGACTATTCCAAAAGGTAAGAATCTCAATGACGAAAATTCGACAATAAGCCTGAACTCTGAAAGCTATTGGAAATACTTTCGAACGATTATTTATTAATAAATTATTTGTTTTTTTTAATCACAATCCTATTGGCACATTGATATGAATATTCATTGAAGGTTTTATCGATCCAATAAATGTGAAATTTGCTAATACACCCAATGCTGCTAAGTCAATGATTGGTCTACCATTAGCACCATCTTATCTACCCGGTATTCCAACACCACAACAACCTGTACTCACAGCTGTACCATCTATTCGTCAACAATTGAACAGGTACAGGTATGCTGCTTCATAACTCCTCTAGAACATATTTGTATATATATATATATATATGGTTTTATGCTCGTATTGCTTGTGCGAAATATAAGTTTTTATGCATAGAGAAACACATGAACGATCGAAATATCGGTGAGTGGATTTTTATTTTGTTCTATCGATCAGTCTGCTTTCTTTCTCTTTTCTTTAAATAAAAAGTTACATATGAACGTTGTTTATTAATGAAGTTTCTTTCTCACTATAGATACTCACCTTTATCACCTGCTGAATTCTTTGCTGCTGCTGCTACAGCTTCTTATCTTCCGGCTGCTGCTGCAGCAGCAGCATCAGCTACAGCTTTAACACCATCAGCTGGTAAATATACTCGTATATCAATTATTTTCAAAAAATAGTATTTCGTGTTTCTCTCGTTCAAGATATAGCATCTGTCGGTTGGTGTATATTTGTTTATAATTTAGCACCTGAAACTGAAGAAAGTATTTTATGGCAACTATTTGGACCATTCGGTGCTGTACAAAATGTTAAAATTATTCGAGATTTTCAAACACAAAAATGCAAAGGTTTTGGTTTTGTAACAATGACTAATTATGATGAAGCTTTAATGGCTATTAATTCTCTTAATGGTTTTACACTTGGCAATCGTGTTTTACAAGTGTCATTTAAAACAAATAAACCAATACCTATTCGTGCTTTCTAGTCCATCCAAGTGGTTTTATTCTCTTTATTTGTGTGTGTATTTCTTCTTTCGTTGTTCAACAAAAAAAACAATCCGCAAAAATAATAACAGTTTTATGTTTATGTGTGTATACATGAAAGAAGAAGAGAGGAAAAAAAAGAAAAGAAGTATTATATCGTTTTCTTCCGTCATTATTGTCAGCGGATACGTTGCTGTCTCCGTCAAATATTTTTGCCTCGCTGCATACAGCTGTTCCTTTTTTTGTTTCTTGCTGTGAAGAGAGGAAAGGGCAATTTTTCTTTGCCTTTCTTTGACATACGATTCAGCAGAAGGAACAACTTGTGAACAGACGAACGCAATTGATTGTTTTCCTCATTGTGCGATGTAACTCAAATGATATTTGATGTGAGCGAAAGCTTCTTTAATATGACCTTGAACACTTTTTATACTGCACATTTGGCTGAATAGTTAACTTTGCTTTTTCCATTCGTTTTCCGGAGAAAATAATCTGCACCATCTGGCAGATCAGCAAAATGTCTGCCATCTGTATATCATTATTCCCTTGACGATTGGGAATTCTCTGGCTGCCATACGTTTCTACATCTGTACAGTTGTCGCTTTCTTCTTTATTTTTTGTTGGCTTCGTCTATATGCAGCAATGTTTCTTTGTTCTACCTATAAAGTTTGAGAAGAAAATCAGCTGCAACAGCATATACATCCTTCTACTTGTTGTATCATTTTGATTATAAGTAACAGATTGTACTTGCTCCCAGAGAGAAAATAAGCAAGACATTTTATTCTATTATTTGTTGATGTTTTTTAATGTTCAGAGAATTACTAAACATCTGGAAATGTTTCCCTCTCTCATTCTCGTTTTTTTTTCCGGTCATTCCATTTAGTATTGTAGATGAGAGGAATCAGGTAGGCATGTATTTTTTTTACTTCAAACATGAAATCTGAACAATGCGTATGCATATATGTTAGTTGTTTTACACGAATTTTTGTGATAACATCGGGATCTCTTTCTTATGCATAAATGAAAGATTTTTTTTTTCGGCACTATAAGCATCATCAGTGGAAACAGCTTGTTCATAGTGACAGCTGTTGACGATGAAATATGAGAAAGAAAGATGCAGAAATCTTGGCAATTAATTTTTTTCCTCTTTACTTTCAGATCACCTACGTATGCCGACTGATACAACAGAAAATTCAACTTCATCAATATCTATGACCACAGTTAACGATAGTAATAACAATGGGTCATCATTAATAACAACAACTGCGAATCATACACCATCGCCTCCGCTATCGTCTTCTCTTCCGACACAAACATTAACAACTAATCGATCAATTTCCCCGACACAAATACCATCTAGACAATTAGATAAATTACGATGTTTTCTTAGTACATTATATTATTTCGGTTCAGATATATCGAATGACATAGGTGAACATGTTCGAGCATTGATATTAGCTCTTGTTGTAAGTTTCCTGTCGGTTCTCTCTTAAGAATAAACAATTATGCAATTTGTTTTGTTTTAGAATAGCGCTTTATCGGTCGAAGAATTTCATGGTAAACTTCAAGCAACAACCAATTTTCCATTACGACCATTTGCATTACCATTTTTAAAAGTACTTATTTAATAATAAATATAGATTTCTTACCTTTTCACTTCTTTTAGTCCACATTACCTCTTTTACAAACAGATCTTTTACAATTAGCACGTCAATCAAGACAATCAACAAGTCAATTTATTGCACAACATGAAGAGTTAATATTCTTATCACGTGATGCACTTGAAAATGAGTCAAATCCAGCAAAAGAGCAATTAAATGAAAATGGCAAAAGAAAATTATCCAACGAGTAAATAGGATTTTTCTGTTGACGTTGATTTAGCTATTTATGAGCATTTCGATTTTTTTAGTTCAAATGAACTCGATGAACGTTCTTATGCAACTAAACGTCCATCAGTTAATCACCGTACAAATACAACATCAATACGTGATAAAGAACGTGCATTTAGTTCGTGTAAATATAAAGTTCGAGTCTATTTTTAAAATTCACGTTTTTAATTTTCCTTAAAGATCTACGTGAATATACAATGGAGTTAAAAGATACTGAAGACGATTGGAAACATGCAGAAAATGTTTGTAAAATTAATGTTTAGTTATTATTAAATAGAATTAAAATAATTTAGATGTTAAATTATATACTTGAAATGGTAACGAAAAGTAAAAGAGTTTTATTTATGTTACAACAAAAAGATATCCATCTGCGTCGTCTCATTGAAAGTACTGATCTTGAATGGAGACGAAGACATGCCGAATTAGTAGCACAAACCGATGATCGTATTGCTGATGTACGTCGAAAAGCAGGTAAATGATTTCGTCTCATCGATTTTCTTATTCACTTAAATTTTGCTTTTAGAAGAAACTGTGTTAGAAATCAAACGTCAATCAATAATCGATTTACAAAAAGCTATATCACAAACCGAACAAAAGTCCAATGAAACTTTACTGCGAGAACGTGAACAATATCAAAGATTAAAAGCTCACAAATTCGAAGAAGCATATGCATTACTCAACCGACAAGAAGATGGGCCAGAAGTATGATTTCATTGAGTAAAACAAAAAAATGAAAGAGATTTGTTTTTTTTCTTCTTAAATTAAATTTAGCATTGTTGGAATTGTGGTCGCAAAGCAATTGAAGCATGCTCTGGTTGTAATATAGCACGCTACTGCGGACAATATTGTCAACATCGTGATTGGGATTTACATAAAAAGTTATGTGGACCTGATTTAAAACGAAGATTCAATGATAATTCGCGCTTATTTTGTCATTCTATACCGAAAACAATTTCTTTAAATCAACATAACGATGAATCAATAGCGAGAACAACCGATAATGTATTGATACCACCGATGATACGTAATGATAATGAAAAATCAGAAAGTGAAAATGACCACGTCACTATAGTAAAAACTGAAAGTAGTTGAAAACTATCCGAGATATCATTCAATTGTCTTTTTTTGTAAATAAATAAATAAATATATAAATATATATTTGTTTTGTTGTATAATGTATTTGATTGCGTGTGTGTGTGCTTTTGTCAACGATAGAAATCAGTCAATATAATAATGAGTTGTATCATAGTAATGCTAGTTTTATGATCAGAATCAAGCAAATCTCGGTAAATCAATGTTATCATCCCGAGAAGAAGAAATAGATAATATAAATGCTAGAAATCGTTTTTATTGATAACTATTACTTAGATATTTTTGAAAGAGAATTTTTGAAATCTAGATGACGCCATTCGTCAACTGCAATATCGTCAAGCCGATGGATGCGTTTTTATCTTTGATTTTATGATTTATTCTACGTAATAGAAGCATCGAAGCCAATTGTTCACCTATGCCAATAGAACTCTATTCAGTTGCTAACGTAATTTGATCCAATCAGAAACTTTGATATTTATCAACGGGCGTCAGTCAACCGAGCAACATTCATTCCCTTACTGCAAAAAAGAAAAAGAAATGTTGATTATTCCTTTCGGGCTGTCGATTTTGCTTCCAGCAAAAATGAGCATAACGTTATTTATTTTTTGATATATTTAACTAGTATAAATTGACCTTGACCAGTTCATTTGTTGGCAAATATTCGAATTTAAAATGAATATTTCATTATGTAAATTTTTCATCAATCAACAAATAAATTTAATTCAAAATTTGAGACATTTATCATCTGCGATTAATAATCAACTGGCAGAGGTTTTATTTTAATCGAATAAAACAAAAATTCAATGAACTGTTTTTTAGCCTCAATTTGGCCTGCTTTTTGATATTGATGGTGTATTGACACGTGGAAGAAAATTATTGCCATACACGCGTGATGCATTTCGTAATTTAGTAAAGGCAAATGGTGAATTTCGTATTCCGACCTTGTTCGTAACTAATGCTGGCAATGAATTACGCTTGTCAAAAGCTGCTAAACTCACTCAAATTCTAGGCATTTCGGTAAAGATTTCTTTTTCGTTCGGTGAAAATCGTCATTTATTTGTTCAGATATTACCTGAACAAGTCATTCTATCACATAGTCCATTGAAATTATTTTCTGAATTTCATACAAAACATTGTTTAATTAGTGGACAAGGGCCTATAGCTGAAATAGCAAAGAATTTAGGTTTCACAAAAGTAACGACGATTGAACAGCTAAGTGATGCTTTCCCAAATTTAGATATGGTTGATCATAAAAAACGACGTGGATTTGTATGAGAACAAATTTTATCTCAATTTAGTTTTAGTTTTGAAAATTTTAGCATTCACCGTTTCGAGATTATTTTCTACCAATTGAAGCTGTCGTTCTATTCGGTGAACCTGTCAAATGGGAAGCATGCTTGCAATTAATAATTGATGTTTTAATGACAAATGGAAATCCTTCTTCGCCGATTGTTCGTGCGCCTGTTTCACATTTGCCTATTCTAGCTTCAAATGCTGATCTATTGTGGATGGCCGAAGCAGCACTGCCAAGGTAATCGTTTTAGAATAATTGCAAATATCGATTTTTATTGAATTCTCTCATGAGAGAATAACAATCTTTATTGAAATTATGGCAGCTAAAATTTAAAATGATTGCAGTAGAGAGTTGTCTACCAGATCGATTTGAAAAAATTATGATTAATATGATTTAATTTTTAAACAGATTCGGACATGGATCATTCTTGCATTGCTTGGAAAATTTATACGAAGTAAGAGTATTATTTATTTGTTTCATATCGATGAAATCGTTTATTTTTAATTGAAGAAAATTTCTGGCCATCAATTACAATATACAACTATTGTTGGCAAACCAAGTGAAGTTACCTTCTATCATGCAGAATATCTTATATCTCGTCATGCACATGAACTTGGTCTTAAGCAGCCAATAAAACGCCTTTATGTGGTTGGAGTAAGTTTTTTAATTAGTTTTTTGTCTTTTTTCAAAAATCTCAATTTTTGTTTAGGACAATCCAGATACGGATGTTTATGGCGCTAATGTTTATAATCGATATTTACAAAGACGATCTTTGTCTCGCGTAAATCAAATTGTTTCACAAACAACAATCGGTACTTTAACAAGCAGTGGGAAAAACATTTCTGGTAAAAATCTATGGAGTAGTTCAAATAGTGCTGAACCTGCAGCTGATAATATCGAACAGTATTATACAGCTGAAAGTTTAGAATCAATACTTGTTTGTACAGGTGTTTTTAATCGTGAGACATATGATGAAACATTAGGTAAAAATCATGGGCATCGTGATATGTTTATTGATGCTGAACTTAGAAAGCCAAAACATACTTGTGAACATGTTTTAGATGCTGTAAAACTTATATTTGATATTGAACAATTCCGTTAGTTAAAAGACAGAGAAGAATATTTACGTAAGACTTTTCTCTATCGGTGAAACGAATTCAGATCCGATTCTATAAAAATTTGTGTTATTTTTTGTATTTATTGTAAATAGGATATTTTTTATTTGTAATTTTTGTAATCTTTTTGTAAAAATGATTTATCATGAAATAATGTATTTCCAATTCTTTGAATAAACAAATCCGTGATAAATAAATATACTTTAGACAGAAGTTTTTTCTTCTACCATTTCTTATAGTGTGCTACGATCGGATCGATATTTTGTGCTAAGCACCTATTGATGAATAGCTTGGGCTTAACTGCACGCTTGAAGGTGTGGGTGCGCGCGTCTAGGTATCGTTATTTTGCCATCCGCAGACGCCACATCCTCAATGGGGTGGACTTGGGGTATGTAAATGGAAGAATCACGACACCCACACTCTAATAAGGTCAACGAGTTTTCCTTCGATTCAAAACACGCTTTCATTTGATGGGACTGAAATCATTTCAGTAAAGTGATCAAATGATCAATACGAATTATTCTATGTTCTTCATTGTTAAAAGTCAAACAATGATAAATACTTCATCATTCAATTTCTTTTCCATGAACGTCCTTGTTGAAATGAATTTGTATTCTATGACATGGCATGACATGATGCAATTGAATGATGTAACCGTAGTGCACCTTATTATTAAATAAACGGATAGATTATCTAAATAGCTTTTTCTCTAAGCTGATGGCTAAACATCGAAATGTCTCTGAATAAGAAGATTGCTTGGCAATTGCAAAAAACATTATGAAAATATTTATTCAACTGGCGAAGTGCTTAGATCTTAAAGACTTCAATTTCATGAAAATTACTGACAACATTTAACAGAGTTAATCTACAGGCCAACAACAGAAGTTTTAAAAAAGTTAAAATTAAGAGTGCATCAAAAGCTTATTTTTCATTAGATGCGATTGATGTCGTACTTTTCCGTGATATTTTTTTAACTAGAAGTTGAAAGTCATTTAGTTCTCATCCATCTGTCGTTTTTATTAATCGTAAAAGTTGGTCAATGGCCATTCGATTAGCAGATTTACTGATTGTTGTCCTAGCCGCTATATATTCTGCAAATACTTGTCCTCGATATGATGCAACTTCTTGGTGGAAAAGTCAGGTCATCCTTGTCTATCGATCGTTAGTTATGTCTACATGAACACGTGATTCAATTTGATACAGCTCAAAAACATCGTGGTTATCCACACGATGAAAATCCATGGTCGATAGAGAACAATATGAATTTGGTACTATCGTCACTGATCACATTACAAACTCATATGAAAGCGGAACATATTGTGAGCGCTCTTGTTCTTCGACATTACAGTGAATGGTGGTTAGGAGTAGCAAGCGATGAATGCCGCGATCACTGTACTTATGCCGATCCCGTGAATTGTACTGTGAGTGGCAAGAAAAATAAAACATATGTCTACTAATAATTATTCTATGCATTTTTTTTAAATCCCCTATACTGCTGTTTCGATTTTGCAGGTTTATGTTAAGATTGTGTAGTTGTTATTTAAAGACCAATGCAAATTTAGAAATCGATAAACGATATGGTTCTTTTTAAAGATAATATGAATAAAAATTTACCGAATTGTGTTCTGTTTTCTCTGTGCTCCATTTATCTATTTAAATTAGAGACTGATCGGATTTGGAACTATGAATAACAGTACAACTCTACGGAAAAAAAACAGTTTGTTTTTGTAGAAATAAAAGTTTATTGTTAATCCCATGTTTCCTCGTTCTCATGAATTTGTAGGTGATACATGCAATTTTTCATTACTTATTTCCTCTTTAGATGTCTCAGTATACAGTTTAACGGAAGGAAAATTTGATTTGTCCATCCTATTGATTCATTTTCTCACTATTATTATGTCGGAGGGATCTCCTTTAACAACATCATTCACATTCAATAAAACTTGTCCATCAATAAAATTTTCTGCTGTTCTAATTACATGCTTTTTAGGAGCGATACTAATGCTCATATACTTTCGCTCTCAACATTACGAAGTTACTATTCAAAACAAATCACTTCAAATATGGTTTGATGCAGAACAGAAAATTAAACAGCCACCCGTGTCAATCGAGATTATGGATTTTGCGGTCCTTGTCCTCCTGATAAACTCTCATCAAGTGCATGGCAATTAATTGATCTTGCTGCTCATATTTCGCCAGAACGGCCGTTTCTAATTAATATCGGTGCAACATCTACTGTGGGTGGTGGCCAATAGGATCCTAATCATTCTCGTCTTACTGCATTCAACATATCTGTCAGTGCACTTCTAATCGATTCTAACACTGATCCGTCTGCTTTTCAATGCTGATCCTCATCGTAGTAATATTCAAATTATGCATGCTTTTATTTGGTCTGAATCTGTTGTACAAAATATCTTTGAAAGATATGCTTCAAAAAATTTTACAATTCTTAAGCTTTACTTTGATTCGTATGAATCTTCCGTACTTGAAAATATTCTTCGTGCTGGTTATCGACCAGCATTAACTCAAACTGAATTCAATCCTATTTTCCCACCACCTGTTATCTTTATATCAATCTACAATGCAAAACAACGAAGAATGATTAGAAACCAGCATTATGGCCAGTGGCGGATCCACCAGTTAGGCTATCCGGCGGTCGCCACCCCCTTAAGAAATTTTTTTTCGATTTTTCTCAGTAGAAATGAAACAGATTAGAGTCTTAATGCCTCAAATAGACTTGAAAAACCGTTTTTTGGCCAGAAGCGGCACCCCCTTACAGATTTTCTGGATCCGCCACTGATTATGGCCCAATGATAATCTGTTTTATGGATGCAGTTTATTGGCACTTTCAAAACTATTGAGATCATTCAATCATATTCTTCTTGAAGTTGATTTCCGGGATGCTATTTATATTCCAACATGAAATAGCACAACCGCACCGAATTCAAGTACCTACAAATGATCATGTTGCATATTAGTATGGTTTTCTTGAGCATTCGTGCCTGCCGTATTGTAGAGCAAATGGGAAATTGTACAACAATCGAATAGACAACGTCATTGAAACTACTTTGAACCAATCAAACTTTAAAATATTTATGACGACTGTTATTGGTTCATTTGCTGCAGTATCAGTGAAAACTAATGACAAGCATACATATATTATTTCTTCATAAATTGTTATATGATAGATAGGATAGAATTAGGTTCAGTGATTACATGTTCAATAGTTCTATTCTTGTATATATTTGATCGTCTTACCTGTTTACAAAAAAAATATCAAGTTTTGAATTGTTTCTCATCACGTGTATATGTTAGAGTTTTGTTTTAATTTCATAAAAATAAGCTATACTTAAAAAAGCATTCAGTACGTCAAGTATAATCGATTGTATACTTTTTGTTGTTGTTGTACAGATTGCGTAATAAATAGTAACGGTATAGTCTATGAAACCTACCCGATCGGTGCTGAAGAAACACGATGAATTCTCAAATAAAAGGAATTTTTGAATCGAATGATTTGATTGAATCATTCATGTATACATTTTAATTGATCGATATTGTTGGTGAGAACTATCTTTAGTCATGACATTTAATCTGAAGCGTTTTCTGTTCTCAAATATTATTGACATGTTAACAAAAATTTTTCATCAATATTCACACTAGAAATTGTGCTCTTGCTAAAAACGAGTAAGTCTCTACGAGTTTGAATTATGGTACTCGATCGATGCAGAACTTTTGCATTCATCCATCGTGTTTACCAGTTTCGTAATAAATAGGTGAATAATTAGGTAATGAATGTAGATGCTGAAGAGCAAAATAAATAGATCAGTCCAATAGCCTAAAAATGAAGGATGAAAAGAACTAAATAGAAGATTTGCCAACGGTTTGATTTCGCATGAATACGGTGCAATATAATCTGGCTCATTAATCCGCTAAGGTCCGTTTAGTAAACGAAACCTAGAGTCCAACTTAATCCATGAACCTGCACATGAGGGCCAAAAACAAAATTAAGAACTATCGTGCTGGCTTTATTTTATTTAAATGAATATAGAAATCAATGACGAGCTCCAAATATTGAACTGCCCACACGTACAATTGTGCTTCCCATTTGAATCGCACGTTCGTAGTCATGCGACATACCCATCGAAATTTCAATATCTTTTATGTTATAATTATATTTTGCACATAGTTCGTCGCGACATTTAATTAAAGCATGAAAATCTTGATCGCTCTGTGTTTGAACATTATTTAATGAGCCGATGGTCATCAAACCTTGGCAAACTAATAAGGGACAATTGATTTTTATATAGTCATATAGAGATAGAAATTGTTTTGAATCAATTCCATATTTTTGTTTTTCATTACTTGTATTTATTTGTAGAAGAATATTTAAGTTTCGTGATTGCTGCTGAAGATTTAAATTTAAACGATTTGCTAAATCAATTGTATCAACGGTTTGAATACAATCAAGATTTGGTACGCGCGTTAAAATTTTAGGAACTTTTTTTCGTTGTAAATGACCAACAAAATGCCAACGAATATCAGGACATTGACTACGAATTAATTGATTATTGGATTTCTTTTCTAACTCTTCAACATAGTTTTCACCAAAGTAACGTTGTCCAGCACGATAAAGTTCAATTATATCTTCAACTGCTTTTGTTTTTGATATAGCAATTAAACGAACCGGAGAACGATGAGATGACGATAGTTGATTTATACGTTCAACAATTATTTTGAGACGAGATACAAGCTCACTCATTCAATCGAATTTAATATCTAGAAATAGATATTTATCATCTAATTTATTCTTTCGTGGATGAGAATGAGTAATATATTACTCCAATGAAACGCTGGAGTGCTAAACTCGGCTCGTTCGTTTTTCAAACAGTTTCCTATGACTACGACAACAAAAATCTATCGCGACCGATTAACCTTGTATCTTAGTGCCCTCTAGTCCTTGTTTTGTTAGAGAAAAAAAATTCCATCGTTAACTCTAGCGTAAGACATAAACTATAGAAAAATCATTGAGGCGTAAGATAGAATTTATTAAATAAAGTTTTTATTCAAAAAGCAAAATACATCAAATCAAGCATCGATTTTATTTACCATGAGAAGTGTTGAATGTCCTAGCTCACTTGAACATATCGATTCTTGATTTACGACAATTGTAATTCGTTATTGGGTGATAACTTTTCAAAATAAGATTCAATATCTTGATTAGAAATGTTTTCTAATGAATTAGGTTTCCATTGAGGTTTGTTATCTTTATCAATAAGAACTTAAAAATAGAAAAGTGAGTACACTTTTTTCTTATCAAGAATAACACATACCTGCTCGGACACCTTCGAAAAAATCATGACCATGTATAACATAATGTAAAATTCGATATTCCATTTTTAAACATTCGTTCAAATCGAATTGTTTTCCTCGTTTCAATTGTTCTAACGTGATCTTCAGTGATGTTGGACTCTGAATAAACAAATGATTAAAATAGAATAGATACTAAATAAATAGATAGATAACCTTATTCTTAAGAATCTCAATTTGTTTCAAAGCAAATGATGATCCATCTGATTTTAATTGTTCAAAAATAGTTTCTACATTTTTTGTATCTATTGCAAAAATACGATTAATCAATGGCAATTGTTCCTGAAGACTGAATGATGATTTCGATGTGACCTATAATAATAAGTAAACAAGTGAAATTATGAATGATACAACCAACTAACTCTAAATACAAGATAGAATTTCAAAGTACGCCTTTGTTATCTTGTCAAATATAATCATGGGAAAGGAAAAATACGGTTACAAGTTTCTACAAATTTTTTTAAAGGCCTACCAGTTCAGTATTTTCGTCCAAGACGTTTTTTATAGAATTGTAATCCGCTTTCGGTAATTTCAAGAGTTTTTGTTCTATTTCTTGTAGCTAAATACAAGAATGATATAAATGTGAAAATCTAGATAGTACTCGATTTGTTGGAAGAAAATGTGTTGCAATACCAGCATGAAGAACATCCATACCGTGTAAGCGATGGCCTGTTAAACCAAGAAAAACGCCAAGATTATTCGATAGACGTGAAAGAAAATAGGAACCACCGGCATTTGGAAACAAGCCTGTTTTGTAATAATCAATCACATAAATCAATGAATAATTTGCTTCTCATTTATTACCAATAGCTGTTTCAGGCATTGCAACTGTTGTAATTTCTGTAGCTATTCGAAATGATCCATGTATGGATAAACCACAACCCTGTGATAAACAAAATGACAAATGGCTAACTCTCTATTTAACATACTCCACCCATAGTAATGCCATTGATCAATGCAACGTATGGTAATTTATACGTGCCAATAAGATAAAGAAGTTGATATTCATCTTTTAAATACGTATTGCGAATATTTTCACCATTTAATGATGTGCTAGTAAGAACTAAAAGTAAATTTTGCTTTTAATTTTAAAATAGATATGTCTTTCATATTACTTTTTAAATCACCACCAGCAGAAAATGCCTTTGGCCCAGTACTTTTAATAATAATAAATTGTGTTTTTTCATCTGATTCCCATTCCTAAACAAGTTTTCAAAATAAAAACCGGCTGACAAATTCAATTTTCATACTTTCATTTTCGAATAAAGCTGTTTGATCATCGAATGTGTCAAAGCATTTAATGTTTTTGGTTTATTTAATTGTACAATTCCAGCTTGATTAATATAATCAAATAGAATTTCATTATTTTGAGTTACACAGATATTTCGTTTAAAAAAAAATCGAGAAAATTGTTTTTGTACTATGTTTCGGAACATTTGATTTTGTTAATAAGAAATCGAATAGAATATATGTTAAAAACCACGACATCTACATTTGATTTAACCATTCATATTAGATCGCTACTCGATCAATATAATACTGATCAAAATAGTAAAATATTAGCTGTTTCAAATTTTATTTTTTGACAAAAATCAAACAAAACTTGGGAGACCATGATGGTATTCAATGCAAAATATGCACCGATTTACATGGAAACTTTAATTGAAGATCTAAAAGATCGTCATATCATTCGATTCCATTTTGAGAAATATTAATCGAAAAAAACGAGAAAAATATTGCCCGAAGGACAAAAAAAAGCGGTTTAAGTCAATTAAAAAATGAAGTATTATATTTCTTTTTGTGTACTCAAAAAAAAAGTACACTATAGATTCGGTCAGTGTGCCTGGGCGTCCGTGTGTTTATTCGATAGCTCTTCACAATTACATTCGACTGAGTTGAAATTTTGTGCACAGAATTGTCTCATCAATATCTCAGTCGAGTTCGAAGATGAGAAGGATCCGTCAAGAAATGGTTGAGTTATCGAAAAAATTGTCATTTTTGATCAGACCATCCCTGAGGGGGAGTACACGGATTTTTCAAAAAAACTTTTTTTTCTCAGAATTATTCACAACATATATAAATCGACTCAGTTTTTAACGCTGATTCTGCATCTGATATTAGTTTTGAACTAAATCGTAGCTTTCTAACAAAACATCGCCTGAAAAAAGTCTCAAAATGCACAAAAACTGCATCCAGAAATCAAATTGCCTAGTTTCTCATGATCATTTTGGTGTTCAGACATTCTAGAATGACTCATACGTCCCATGCACTTTTTGCAGCACACATAAATCTCGGATGAAATTCGAACTTTCCACATTTATTTTTAATTTAATTTGATTATTTCTTACAAAGGATCTTTCAAATCATAAATGGAAACAGTTGAGCCTAGCGATGCACTAAAATTAATCCTTGTCAACTTCGGTTCAATTCTATATTTAGATAATAATTACAAAAACTTTCAAAAACATTTATAGCTCTGATTATGACACCACAGTGTCTCTTATTATATTCAAGGAAATATTTTGTTTTCTCCTGTACAATACGTTTGCATTTTTGAGACAATGATCTTTATTTTCAGTCACAATTAAAAAAATATTCTATCAATTGTTATTTACAAAACAGTGTTCAAGAAAGAATGGAATTTTTGAAAAGTTTTTTCTTCTCCATCAAGAGACATCTAGTCTTGTAAAAGCGAAAAACAACCTCTACCATCAACTAACGGGATAAGAGCACAAAAGATTTCTGTATTCTTAAACAAAAAAAAGATAAGACCAGTTGATGTTTGGAGAAGAAGATTTTTTTGAGGTAAACAAAATTTTCAGTTAAAAATTAGAAATGAAATGCTCTAGTAATATGGCTCAATTAGTATAGAGATTAATTAGTTTTACTTAATTGTTCAGAGTAATAAGAAACTAGTTGCATAACAGTGTTTACTGTTTGTTATTAACGAATGAAAGTAAGTAGAAGCACTTAGATTATAAGTTAATTACATCACACCCGAAGAGGAAGTACACATCGAGGGGGGCCTTCATTAACATTTTCCAGCTTCAGATTTGGTGATATTAGTTTTTAATTAACTTATTATGAATAGAGTTGCGCATGTTTTTGTTTTTATTCTAATAAATATTTCCTGAACCGAAAAAAAAGGAAAAAATGCTGCTTTGACCTTGGTCAGTAAATCTCTTGGTTTCAAATAAATTAAAAACTTGCAAATTTTCTTTCTTTGAAATTACGTATCAATATTTGTTTCAGTTAAATAATTTATTCAAGTGATGGTTTATTCTCCATTACTTACTGGTGGTCTCAGTCAACCTCTCATGCGCTTAGTAGTCGATGAAAATCCATCAAAGTCAGACGACGTGCATGACCAATGGTTGATCAGAAATGTCCCACGAACTGATAAACTCTCAGTAAAAATTTTCGACAAAGATAATGATAAAGTCAAAGATGATTACATTGGTAGTTTTGAATTATCTCTTCGGCCAAGAAACTGTCGGTCAACTGAGAGCATAAATAGTTGGGGCAAAGTTCGAGGAATATCGAATTGAGTATTGAACGTTTTCTTTCGTCACTCGAGACTCAAACTCTTGGCCCATACACATTCGATGGTCCTGTTCGTTATTCTGGTCATAGCTTATTGGCTGTTGGACAATTAACTAAAGTTAATGATGAGCGATTTTATTCAACTTGATAAATTTGTTTAAAACGAATCGATTATTTCTTGGATCCAACTGAGAAACAAAAATGGAGTCCATCGTACAGAGCAGCTCAAGCAATTTTCGAAGGACCGGTGTCGCTTGGTGTTCAATCCTTGATAAAGCAAGTACATCATATGCTCTCTCCAAAACATACAACGAATCGATTCGGTGCTTTGAATACTAGTCACGATTTCTGGAAATTATTGTGAGATGAAGCAACATTGCAGGTAAAACCTTGTGTTTACACTTATATTATTGATGATTGAGCATGGCGATTTAGTGAGACAGACGCACCGTTTTTTCTTGATTTTGCATCAAAACATGGTCTTCATGCAAATTGTTCTGAAACTGTTTGTTACGCAGGAGAAATGCATCCACGACCAATTTGTGGATGGGATAGATTTACTTCAGCCATTCAGGTAGATTGCGACCAATGGGAGTTAGTTATCGGTAATGGATCAAGTACTTATCCACCAGATCGATCACTTCTTGTTAAACTGAAAGATTAACTTTCTTTCATTTTCACTCATTGAAAAATCGCCATTTATCATTTTACAGATTCGGAATTAAAATTAAGTATTGAAGCTTGTCGATCATTTGCTAAATCTGGTTAAATGAAATCGATACGAACTATCGAACAATTTATTTCGAAAAAAAAACACTTGATTATAAAGCGTTGAAATCGAATCATGTTTAATAAATTGTTTTCTTTATCCGATTAGATTTTAACTGCAAGGGAAAGATCAATTGACTACCGAATATTGTCCATTTCATTTTCATCACCTATTCGTATTGATCTCAATGCTATTCAAATCTACAGAATGAGTGAGTTTTCACTGTGTCAAAGTGACCCTAAAAAGTGGCCAATTAAATCTACTGGTCTTATTTTAAAATAAAGATTATGTTAGGAACTGTTGAGCCTTCGCAGTTTGGAACACTACCTCTGCCTACAGTAGATTATATGAATTTATTCTAATATTTCAACAATGATCTCTGTAAAATATGCAAATATTTCATTATATTAAAATTGGTGAGCATCAGGTTATTTTAGACGATCCCCTCAGTCGGGATTATATAGAAGCTGCTTAAATTCAATGGAAGCTGTGTACCACGAAGTTGAGTCATGTAGCATGTAATAAGATTTTCTCTAATTAAATAAAATGGTGTTTTTTCTTTTATATGCACCACTGCGTACCCATTCATTTTAATATCGACCCGTCGAAACGCTAAGTTATCCAGTAGATTTCAATGTTATAAATGAATGCCATCAATGTAATTTGTGTTTACATCCTGTTGTATCCTTTTAATTTTCAAATGGCACTATGATAAAGACTGGATAGTTAAAACTATTTTCCGTGAGATCAAATACGATTAGTTAACGAGAAAGATTGTATTTGACTTTTAAAAAAAAATCATGTTCATAATCTTAAAATTTTAATTAAAAAGTAGCCTGAGCTAGTGTAAGCAAACTAATTTGATTTATCATATCCTACTGAATATATAATGAAGTTGCCCTTCCTTGATATATATATATATATAGGTACAGATTATTTAAAATATTTATCCATCTGACTAATCAAAATAACCCTATGAGAATCTCTTAGACAATAGTCTTATAATTGAATCTATCTAAATTTGTCTTCAATTGCGTAGAATCGAACACTTTTTTTTAATATTTCAATTATCTGCACAACATTTCCTGTGACTTAAGTGTAATAGATAGAGAAAGAGAAAAAGAAGACTTCATGTAAACATGGAACGCTAATCAAATAAGACGAAGAAAATTACTACTCTCAGGATCAGAAAGAAAATTTTTTCTAAGAATAATGTTACCTGCGCACAAAACACAAAACACACTCACAATGGAACCAGAACGGATAGGAAAAGCACCAAGATTCTACTTACCTTTGATGTGTAAGATATGTGGGGATGTCGCACGTGGTTTCAATTTTGATGTTATAACATGTTTATCGTGTAAGGCTTTTTTTCGAAGAAATGCATTTCGATTATCGGTAAGTTAATTTCACGTTAACTTATTATCTGTTTCATAAATTTTATATTCGATAGAGTATACGTTGTTGCCAACGTAAAAATTGTTGTAAAATAACAAAAGAAACACGTAGTTATTGCCCAGCTTGTCGTCTGAAAAAATGTTATGCATTTGGTATGAATTCTAATTTAATTCAATCTGTTTCCAAACGTGAAACAAGCTCTCATGTGTTCAAAGAATCGATGATAGAAAAACAAAATAAAATGCAATTATCCACGGTAAATCGATTTTAAATTATATTGTTTCAATTGGATTTTTTAATGTTTTTATTTTCTGTAGCCTAGACCAATTGGTCTTCTTCAAAATGATTCGTCAATGTTATCACACGATCAATGGAATCTTCTTTCGAATATCATTCGATCTTATGATAAGCAAAATGTTGTCAATGAAGTACGACGTATACTTGAAAGCAAATCTTCATTACCAGCAAAATTACGTTTGAAACCTGCCGACACAATGGATCTTATGAGTAAACCTTTGGAAAACATTGTACTACTTATGGGAAATTCGCCTCATTTTTGCGCTTTATCAAGCAATGCTCATCGAGCTGTGGTATCACATAATATACTTTTAACTGGCGGTCTCGATGGATATTTTGTTGCTCGTGAAACTGATCAACTCAAGAATATACATTATATGATTGCCAGTAGTGCTCTTTACGGCTCAGATTTTATGGCACAATGTGCTAAAGACAATGAACGTTTGGAGCCAAATGGAAATTTGATTAAGATTATGTTATTTGTTTTGATATTTTCAAGTAATTGCTCAATGGTTGTATTCAATGACAAAGAAGATATCAATATAATGTCCAGCACCATTGAACTAATTCATATACAAAATATTTATTTGGCGATATTATGGAAATATTTAATTTATTTATATGGATATAATCAAGCAATCGTGCATTTTTCTGCGATGGTAAAAAGTGTTCTTGACATGCTCCGCCGAGTAGAAGATCTATCCAAGAACGATACTCTGGAAAGAATAATTGATAGAGTTGTGACGCATGCAGAACGTTCTTTGGCCATAGAAGACTAAATTACATTTCCCGCATGCCTTCATTAAAAAGTTGATGGTTCAAGTACTGTGTTGCGTTTGTTTAATTATCTGTTATTAAGTCATTGTAAAAGATTTTGAAATAAATAATGATGATATTCGGCATTAATTATTATTTCAATTTTACAAATAAAATCCTGCTTAATTTACCGTCGGATGCAATGAATAATAACCTTAAATTAGCCACAAGTCTTCCTACTCTCTTTATTACGACTGAAAATAGATCATGCTTGTCATCAATATAAGAGTTTTCTTCATAATTATATTTTTCGGAAACTTCTTATGCATTTGTTTTTTAATATATCTTAAGAAACTTATGTAGCCTGAATCATATTCTCTCTAGATATGAATTTTTATTCGATTTGATCGTCAGCTCATATTACAAGTGCAAGTTACCAGAATTGAACCACGTCAATGGATGCGAAATAAAGTTTAAGTTGAAAAACTTTGAAACTAGCTGTCAGTGCATTTATGCCTATGCAATAAAAATGTTTTTCTTGTACATTAACTTTGAACTATAATAAAAGTAGTTTTAATCGAGTGAAGCATATTTCGTTCCTAGAAAAATGATAGCTTTGAAGTTTTAATAGATAGATAGGAAATAGCATTGGCGAATCTTTGCTTTTAAACTTTATTCAGAAGAAAATTCTTTTGGCTTAATATTATGAAGCGTTTTAAAACAAATTGGACATGACTGTTGTATTAAACTATAAGCGCATACATAGCAAAAATAATGTTTACAATCGCCAATGGATTCATGTGGCATGACAATCGATTGTTCACATACAGAACAAATATTTGTTTGTTCAAGACGTTTCATTACGGTTCCAGATAAATATTTTCTCATTAATGTACGTGCTTTTAATGATGTTAGAAATGGGATTAGCGTACCTAATGTTTCATTGAGTGTATGCCAAATTAATTCGCGTTTCATATATGAATAATCAAGTATCCGAAGTGATGGCCGATGATTATGAATTGTTTTCACACCAGCTATTCGTTCGAATAGATTTACATATTTACCGCCATGAAGAAAGACTAGAAAATTCATAAGCGAAATTGCTTTGTAAATAAATTGAAATGGTAATAGTCGTCGATAATCAACTAAAAATTTTTCGTAGATGTAAGAGAAAAAAAATGATAACAAATAAAGGCATTTTTGGTAACGAGTCAATGGTGATGACGAATATTTTAGTTCTAAAAGTTGTTGACCAATGGTTGCTGAAAAACGCGACGAAAGAATTGTATTGTATGATGTTAGTACACGAAGAAATAATTGAAATTCATGTTTAAATGAATGAATTAAATGTGAATAATAAATTCGAAAAAGTGACGAAAACATATCCCAATTGTAACCATGAAAATCTTCATCGAGATAATTTGCATCGATTTGAGGAGTTCGAAGTGCTGTTATTGGTTCGCTCATTCTAATCTAAAATATAACATAGAAGAGATTATGAGTGGTTCTATTTTTAGATTAGCCAGGCCACTGTACTTGACTAAAGACTAATGCAACTGTTAAATTAATATACAATGCAGATTAATATTTAAGTTAAACTTCTTTCTTGCATTCTATGTATGGATCAAATTTTCGAAGAACAGCATTCAACTTTTGTCATTATCTTTTGGCTTCAAAGATATGGGGGGTAGTTTACACAATTGTTAATTACTGTTGAATTTTTTCTAGTAAAATATTTATTACGGAAGAATGAGGCTACAGAATTCTTTTGACTTTTTAAACCAGACATCTAATCTAAACACGTAATAAACTTAAATTATATTTTAGCCAAATGTAAATATGTTTATTTGCACTTTTTATGATTAATAAATAGTACTTTGCAAGATTAACGTCTGGTGAAGAATATTAATTATTGATCTCAACGAATTCAAAAATGAATGCTTATTGTTGACTTTCATAGACAAATGAAATTTGTTTTAAAACGACATTAAATTAACTTTTACAAAATATCATTAGTAATTTATTCTTTTGTTTCTGAAGTTCTATAAAAATGTCGACTAAGACTTTAACCACAGTTCAATGATAATGAGTTTTTTTCCAGGTTTATTTTAATACTTACGCATCAGCTGCGTCTGATTTGTAATGATTTTCTTTTAGATTCTAAATGCAATATAATACATATATTTTATAAAAAAGAAATTGACGGAACAAATTTTACGTACTTACTCTTAACATCATTCACCAATGATTATATTAACGACGTTGAGCTGAAGCTAAGCAAAGAAATAAACACCAGCGTCAGTGATGACCTCTATTGACACGATATTGGTCTTGTCTTTAACAAATCGCAACAGTAAAATCTATCTACATTTTTTTTATTTCTTCCCGCTTTTTAAGTTTTACCACAGGATTTCATTTTCAAATGTACAGCGAAGTAAGAATAGATTTGTTTTTGATAACAAAATAATTTTCGATTCAATCTTAGAGTGACACGGATCTTTCGCAGGTAACTGTTGAAGACAAACGTCGTAAGAATATCATAGACAATCAAAATTTTCTTGAAAGTCTTAAACTATTAAATGTATTTGATTTTGTTTTTTGCTAATTAGTCGAATGTTCTTAATTGTGATGTACTTTAGGTTCGTGAAGATTTAAAATCAGCTGTGAACTTAACAACAACAACAAAAACCCTACGAAAAGCATATAAACGAAAAGAAAATATCCATCAGTAAGAAGTGTTTTTCTACAAAGATTTTCCTGGAGAACAAACCCCCGAAACAAAGAGCGGTACGATACTGTCGCTCGACGATCTCTATTGTCGAGAGGAGATTAGCTAAAACGTTCAAGAATTTGTGGAACGGACTAGACTATTGGCTATTGAACATTCGATCGAATGGTGAGGATCTTGCTGAATAGACTATGAAAGAACTACCCAAATGAAGGGAATGCCGGCTTAGTATCTTTGTAGTTTTCGTTGAAATAATTCTTCTTTTATTTTAAGATCAGAAAGACGCCGAAGTTCACGCATCCAAACAATGTCTCGAACCAATTATAATAATCAATGTCTTGCCGATGATGAAGATTGTGAATCGTCAGCTGATGAAAGCTCAAGTGACGAAGACGATGATTTAAGTTCTGCCTTCGTGAGCAAAATGGATACAGATTGGCAACCATCAAGTTCAGGAAAGCTACCTGCTGCGAAAAATATGCGACCGATTCGTAAAGTTGTCAAAACCGCTCCTGATCATGCGAAAATGTTTCTGCCAAATACTGGATTAGAAGCATCGAAAGTCTTATCTAAAAATAAATTTCGTAAATCCTATGTATCTAAAAAATTGAATGTTGCTATATCATCATCATCATCGGAAGATTAATTTATTTTTTGTTTTTGTTTTTGTGAACTACCTATGAACACATTTTATTTATCTATTCTAGATGACAAAAGTATTTATCATTTTAGTTTTTATTTTGTTTCATTCGTTTTAATTCTTTCAGCAAAATATCGAAAAAATTCGTCAAAAAAATCTTGAAGAAAATCAACGTTTTCTTGAAAGTCTTCGTATAAACAAGGTAAATGAGATTTCGAATAATATTGATTTAAAATTATTATTTATCTTTATAATTAAGGTTCGAAATGATTTTGTTAAATCAGCACGCTCAGCTATTGGCAAAAATGAAACTAAAAAGCACACTAAGATTGAAGATAAAAAGTAAACAAAGCAGCAGACAGTATTTCGCCTCGATAATGTTGTTTTTTCTAGAATTGAACGTGTTACTCGATATAGTTTAAAAGTTCAATCAGGTGAAATTCCACCATATATTCCTGAATGGCAACAAAAAGCTCAACAGAAAAAGTCACAGAATCCTTCAAAATGGACTCTGTATTATAAGAATACGACAAATCCTTACGGACGAACGTTTAAACCACGAATTCGAAATTAATCTTCTTGAACATTTGATTAGATATAAAATTTGTATATATTGTGATTTCATAGGTTTCTAAAATATTTTACTAGCAGATTATTATGTATCTTATATTACGTTTTACCATGACATCAGTTAATCAAACTGGAGTCTTGATAAGAAGTGTAAGCGAATGGTGATGTTTATATTTTGATTTCGTTTTTCTGTTCAACACTTTCATTGATTGTCTGAAAATTTTTGAAATAAAAAAAACCTGATCATTGGAAATATACGTTTCGATTTACAAGCTTTGATGCTTTGTTTTATAATAGGTTTGACCTCGTAGATTTGTTCGTACAACTAAATAAAGCTTGATTTTCAACAAATCAATAAGTCGATGATGGAGAACCAAGCGAATAGTCTAATCGAAAGAAATGCAATAGCCTAAATGCCTGGAAATGAATTCTGAGACTTCAAATGAAAAGAATTTTAAGAGTTAAACAATTTATTGATCCTATGAAGTATAACAAATTTTCAAATATGACAATTGAGATCCTATTCGAATTGTATCTGCTCATCAGTAAGACCGTATAACGCCTTCTTGAGCACATGTTACAATAAGTCGTCCATTGCGAGTCCATACTCGACCCAAATTCCAAGCTCGATTATTTCGATGAATTGGACATTCTAATTCATACAATAGCCAATCATCGGCACGCACATGTACTTTAACTGGAACAGGTGGTATATCTGAACTGCGTTTAATTGGTTTTAATGAAGTATTCTGTTCTGTTGAATCGCTTTCAGCTTCTGTATCAAAAATAAAATCATCGTGAAACCACATGGAATGATCAAGTGATGCTTGCATCTTAATTCTTCGACTAATACCATTGACAGCATAGGGCAGATAGGCACTACCTAATAAAACACGATCACTACAATAAGCTACAGCTGATCGATGTATATGCGAATAATCAGGTAGAGGATCCAATGATTTTATCCAAACAAATTGTCGTGCCGGCCATGTTGGCTCTGGATCAAGTATATCACGTGGATTACAATAACGTAATTCAATACGTGCTGGCATTTGAAGTGCATTTTCAATTAATGGTTTAATTTGTGGCTTGACACGTGTATCATTAAGAAGATTAGTAAAATGATCATTCATTGAAAGAAGTTGTTCAGGCGGTGGAACAGCTAGAGAGAGAGAGAGAAAAACAGAATTATTATATCATAGATGAAAAAATTTACCAGCATGAGGCATTTGTAATTGATGTTCCATATCGCCCTTCTCTCTTTTATGAAAATTCATTGAACATTCGAATACTATTCGATTGTCTTGTTTAACTGTTACGCTTCGTGTTTCAAATGATTGACCATCGCGTAATCGAGAAATTGCATACGTAATAGGAGATGAATTATCAGCTGCTGTTAAAAAATATGCATGAAGACTATGTAATGGAAAATCTTTTGTAAGTGTTTTTTGTGCTGCATATACTGCCGAACCAATTAATTGACCACCGAAGACACTTTTCCTATTAGGAAATACGAATAATGTTTCAGCTGGTTGAACAAAAACATCAGTCGAACATTCAATGACTTTGATTGTTTCATAAAGAGTTGGCCTCTTTGATGCTAGACAACGATGATGAATAATATTGTATGCGGGGCGACATTTTAAAAGAGATAATGCAACAATTTTTGAATTGACATTCATTTACGATTCTATTTCAAGTAAGAATATATAGTAGAGCTGTGCAATAATATTTCGATTATTCTTTTTCTTTCGTCAGTCGATGGCGGTGCACGTGGCGGCTGGCTTTTCGTTGTTCGTTCTGCTCCTTTTTTTTCAAATGAAGGACGAAAAAACACAAAAGAACCGACTATAATAAACTGCAACTTTTCAGTATCAAATATAAAAATATTCGTGCACTAAAACTTTGCACTCAACTTGAGGGTGGAGGTTGTGTTTAATGATCGGAATTTATTCGACACAGAGATAGTATCAATCCGTAGAATAATTTCTTGGATGTGCTCGAAATTAATTTAATAGAAACAACCTCTACCTGTATTACCATAGATTTGAATTGTACAAATTTGGAACGATAAACATCGTATAGATAATGTAACTGTTTTCGATCTCATAGTTTGAGAAATTTCATATCTGTTTTTATGATTTGGTACAAAGGAGTTTTATGTATTAAAGCCGCTATTCAGCTGAAAATAAAGATACTTGTTTATCCGTCATATCTCCGTTGGATAGTGAAGACTGTATTTATCCATCAGTTCATAAGTACTTTTTAATAACTTTTCATTGATCAACTCGTTAGAAATTTGTCTCATGATTATTTTAATATTCAACTTTACAGGTAAAATAAATGAGGAAACATCGGATTCGCATCCGATTGTTACGTGTACTGCAAAACTGAGTCGATTTATATATATTTTGAATAATTCTGAGAAATGTTTTTTTTTTGAAAAATCCCTGTACTCCCCCTCAGGGATGATCTGGTCAATAATGACAATTTTTTCGATAGCTCAGCCATTTCTTGACGGATCCTTCTCATCTTCGAACTCGACGGAGATATTGATGAGATCATTCTGTGTACAAAATTGCAAGACAATTGGATGAGGCTTTCAAGAGTTATCGTGTTAACGGCAGGACAAACTGGCCTAGTCTTGAGTATACTCACTTTTTGTGTACACAAAAAACAAATTTGATAGACAGTCATATGTCCTATTCGATTTTTCACGCATTTTCCATTGTGATAGACCATTAGTCTCATTACTATTCATAAATCAATTATATTTTTACTTGTCAAAGAATGTCAGATGGCGGTTTTATTACAGTTTCAAGAAATAAATGAAAGAGAATAAAATGAGGTCAAGAAACATGGTCACATTATAAGAGAAGCATTTATTCCAGAAAAACTCGCTTCATTGAACTCCAGATGTTATCTAATGAAAGTTTTACTGTATTTACTGCATTCAATTTCTACTTGATTCTATCAGAATTGACTGGTTTTCAATAAATTATAAAATAGAATATTAAAAAATCAGCTGCCGACTCCAATTCCGGACAACATCCAATCGAAATGCTCTTCATCCTATAAATAATTGTTATTGATGAATGCAGATTTCATTTTATCAATCGGTTTCTTTTGTTCTTTAAATTTTTTCGCGTATAATATATGATTATTTCCATCGGCACAAATTGATTGAATACATCTCCTCTACATTAAATATTTTATTAATTTCATCTAGAATATAGTTCTTGGTAATTCAATGATGAACTTCATTCTTCTGGGGTTTTTCTTCTTCTTTTGTTATTAATCAAGTTACTTCATAAATACACAATAATAAGAAAAGCTGAATTTTCTAGAAAAGAAAAAAAGCGAATTCCATAAATAATTTCATCGCCAACATTTTACGCATGCGAAGCTTATGATTTATTTTCCATTGAGAAAAATCATCGATCATCGCTTCATTTAATTAGCTTCTTTTTCTACTAACAATTGACTGTTTCACGCAAATTTCTAATGAGCGTCTATGAATGCATATCTAAGTATGTTTCTCTGTATCGTTCAATAGGTTTACTCATGAATTTGAGAAATTACTTTTTTTCCATGAATAGATCAATATGTTATGACCTCGTGAGTCTTGTTTATCTAATGAAATTTCCAGTCGAAAATAATTAACAGACTGATCTTTCAAAATTAGATCGATTGAGAACAACTGAAATTCAAATTTCGTCGGTGAACTCCGACATTGTAAAAAAATTGAAAGTTTTATTCAATACAACTGCAGGATGACTATAAGAAAGCTAATTTTTCCTATAGTCTTGTTCAAAGATACTAAAATCACATGATTCGAAGTGAAAACATTTCCGTCCGACTTCTCTTTGATGTTCAAGGTTGTGCTCCTCAGTATATGAATGCAACATCGTATGGACTATTTCGAATGACATAAATTACCGTTTTACTATTGATAATAGTCGCTCAATGAGAATAGATTATAAAATTAGTTAAATTGACTAAAAAACAATATTCATCATTATCAGAGCATTTCGCTATTTGGATTTCGTAGTTGTTTACATAAATGTATTCAGTGAGCTCGTGTCAGTATTTCATTAGTATAAATTATTAATAATATTCTCAGTTTATAAAGTATCTCGTTTCCTGTTCGATTGAAAGATGCTAATCTGAGGACTTTGATATTTTTTTAGCTCAACAACACGATAACGAAGGATATTTTTATTTATGAATCTATTCGATGAAGATCTGATTTTCCAAGAAATCTTCTATTACTTCCGGTGGATTGTTCCTCAAATGAGTGTCTTCTATTTCTCGAGCAAGCATGATGGATCGAAATTCTCCATTTATCACAACACGAGACATCTAGAAAAGATCAATTTTGCGTTATGTGACACCGTTTTGTACTATGCACTTCTAGTTTGATTTACGGAAGTACCGAAATTACCTATTTTAATCCAACCTATCTCTCGTTTCCGGAAGTAATATGGCCTGACTAATTTTTATAAAAAGAACCGTTGGCGTATGAAGATGAAAAAACAAGAAATCCTATTATTCCATTTACATTTATGCCTAACGATTCCCTCGATTGAGTAGTATATATAAAAATAGCACGTTCTTCTTCATGATGAAAATGATAACGGACCAAGATCAATATGCTAATACATGTTAGACTCAATTTTGGTTTTGTCTCTTCTTACGAACGCTTTATTTGTATTTAGCAAAACCAAAAGGCTAAACTATAGATTAGAAACAAAGAAATGACAAACTGTTTTTTAGCTAGTCTTCAAGTTCTTTTATCATATCGAAATATTTCCGATTTCAACTAAACTATTCTCATGGGAGTTTTCATAGCTCTTGCACGAAATCAACGTATGTTTCTTCGCAAACTGTTTAAAATAAATACGAAAAATATTTCGTTTTCTTTTTTATTAATGTTCACTAGCCTATATTTTGTGTTGGTGTTATGTTTATTCATAAATGCAAATTGCATTATGTTCATATTTAATTACTATGTTAATGGCTTGTTATTTCTATCATGAAAACTGGTCAAATGCAGATTTGCTTGGCAATAAATGTATTCATTGTTTTTCGGGATTTTATAGTAACGCTGACATTTGAGAATTGTTTGCGAAATGCCATATACAACAAGAAAAACGGTTCCTTTCTTTTTGTATTCATTTCACAATGCTCCTACGTGAAAAATGTAATGGGAAAAAGCGCTATTGTGTCGGTCTCTTCTATATTCAAATAAGGCAAACAGAACAAAAGAATAAAAATTCGTACGACTTATAGCTGTTTGGTGCTATCGTATTTATAATTCCTGTAGTAGTTTATTTTATTTTGCGATGATCTATTTATCTTGTAACATATTTCTATCGATGATTAAAATCTACACTAATACTCCAACGATAATTCTTATCTTCAGGATTTTCTTCATGTTTCTATTAGACATGTTGAAAAATAGGACCGATTAGCAATAATAAAAAATGATTAATGAAATAGGTTCTTAGTTGCTACCAATCGATTATTCTAGTGTATTTTTGATTTTTCATATTCACTATTCTATTAAGTAGTTCATGAGAAAATCCCATTTTTGAATTAGTTTCCCGTAACTGCTACTCACGATATTTGATGGACACACCGTGCGTCATATTACATGATGATAAAGAATGTAAATTCAAGTTTTGAACGTACCATATGCACTGTTTTGTGTTTTTCTTGTAATTTGTCCTACGACATTGTTGGTTAAATTCATTTAAAAGGAAAATGAGACAAGATTTGAGCTGTTTCTTTTCAGTTTCTTTTTTTGCATGCTTGTTTAATGTAAATAATCCATAAATATCTGTTTAATATAATGAGCAATCTCTGGCATATTCACTGTCAACAGTAGTACTCTTACAAAGACGATCTCATTGACGCTAAGAAAGGCTAGAACTCTCTAAACATTTCGGAAGTAATATTCATAAAGAAAAAAAGAATTTCTTTACAAAAAAAAGGCAGCGTATTCAAAACACGTAAAGTTAGTCTAATTATTGGCGCATCGGAAATCAATTGTAAATTATGCGCGACTACATTCCAAAAATGATGTCTACAATCAGTTGATAAGGTTTCTATTTTTATACACTTTGATGAATGAAAAATAAGAACTCAAACATATTTGATTATTCATAATTAAAATAATATGTCTATATATATATATAGAGAGAGAGAGAGACAAGGAAATATACGCGGAAAAAAAACAATGAATAAATACTTCTAAATTACTATGTTCAGCAATAATTTGTTTGACTGTCATTGAATAAGTTGTGCGTAAATCATTACTTGTCTTTTCGATCATAATTGGATTAGTCTAAAGAGAAGGACTATCGCACTGTGCCGAAAAATATATATATATATATATAAATAGAGGACAACTATAAAAGGAAAAGAACAGGAGAAATCAAATCGTTCGGCTATGCAGCATTACATTTGTCTCTCGTTTCAGTTTTCTCTTTGAGGATGAACCGAGTGTCAACATATTGTTTTGTGAGACTGACGACTTGCACTCGTAAAACAACAGCTCAACATCGAGAGACCGACGAAGAAAAAGTCGAGAATATTAAACTGATTTTCATTTCATGCACCATTCTCTCTTGTTTTCTCTATGTTATTCTTCTTGTTGCTTTCGATGATTTATAGATAATCAATGGTGATTAGGGAAAAGAGTATATACATATATAACTGCATATTGAACAAAAAACAAAATTCGACGGTTAAACTCATGTCATGAATTATTCCATATATTCACCTATAAAACTATGTACATACAAAATTGGATAGTAACTGAAGATATTGTTTTGATATCTAATGCCGTCTTCGTGGTACCGTTGTATTGTAAGTCATTAATGAGTTCACATAAATAAATAATAATTTTCTTTTCTTTTTCTCCTAGAATAATTTTTTTCGTTTCCTCATATATTCTTTCTTTTTTTTTTCTCTAGTACCGCTGTTGTTGCTGTCAGTGTTATACAAATATTGGCGAAACGGAGAACAGTGCCAGCAACAGCGGTGGAAATAAATCTACCGGTGGACAATGGGATATTTATTTAGATTCTCAATATGATACATTGACTGGCTCTCTTATAATTGCATCGGAAGAAAGTGACACATGTTTCGAATATATTCATCGATCTTTTCATATTCTGAGTATCAGCAGTAAGAATTTTAATCAAACCGAGTTTGTTTTTTATTATTTATATTCATCTAGTTCCTATTATTCTTATCGAAGCAATATTGGTGACAATATTCAGTTTAATGTTTATATTTGGTTTGTAATTATATTTATATTTTATTCTTTGACACTTTTATTTTTCTCCATACACATGTTCAGGATGTAAATATTCAAATGATTGTCCAATACAACCATTACTTATTATCTATCATCTTATTGGGGGTGGTGTTGGTTCTCTTTTTTGGTTATGGTTAATGTTACGAGCGTTACGTAGAAGGCGACAAGAATCCGGCCTTGAAGATGATGATGATACCGATTATGATGCACATTTAGAAGATAGTTCTGGCGGCCAGAGACTAAAAGATAATGGTATTTGGTTTATGGAATTATTAGCGTTTATTTTTCTTGTTGTTTCTTTTTCGATGGGAAATTATTGGACATGGTCCATTTTTTGGCCAGCTCAAGATATGACTGAGACTCAGCCAATTCATTGGTGTAATCATTCATTATATATATTTACGCTGGTTTCTATTGGAATGATTTATGTGTTGGCTATATTTATTATATTATTTATATTTTCATTCCTAATTTTTGCAAGATATTGTGCCCGCGTATTGATTAACGAATAAATAAAAAATCTACAACAGAAAATTCTCGTAGATGAAATGTTACGATTAGCTCAAAATGAATTATCACCGTGAAGAAAAACAATATTATTCTATTCTGTGTCTTTGTAATTATATTTGCATATTAATTAGTCGCCGAGATGAACTAATGTTATGTTCTCACGAAGAATACACTTGAAAAGTCTTTTGAGATTCGAAAATATTTGAATTATTGATTAGATTTAATGTGTAAATGTTCCAGACAATCGTGACATGAATAAGAATTGCGTTGCTATAGAAAATGTATGTTCATACAAAAATAATGTGACCTTTTTCGACGACTTGATTATTTTGACAACAAAAGAATAAAAAAATATTTTCTTTTCAACAACAGAACAATCTATTATTTTCATTGATAGAAATGTAGGCCGTGCAGATACATTCCGATTGATTGAATTCTAACCGTTTCATTTCGACATAAAAAAATAACTACTGCGAAATGTATCGAACAATGATATATTGGACATATTCCCAGCTCGTGGAGGGACGGTGGGAAACGGCCGGCAAACATGGGAAAGCGCTGAAAAGTGGAAGCAGTATTCCGGTCAGAAATTACCGGAATACTGCTTCCACTTTCCAGCACTTTCCAGTGCTTGCCGGCCGGTTCCTACGGTATCTGTCCTCCGGAATCATTGACCTCGGTTATTTCGTTTTTAACGAATGAAGATGAAAATTGTACTACAACGTCTTTCGTAAAATTATAGACATATTCATTGATTAATAATCCGATTACTTCTGATTGATACAACACGGCTACTGATAATATATATATATAAATATATATATGAGAGTCTGCAAGAATTGTACGTCATGTTATCGACAGAAATCCTACAGATGACGCCAAACAACAATTGATTATTTAATAAAGTATGAGAAGAAAATTTCTTTCTCTTTATCTATTTTTTTATTCATAAATTTGAAACAAACATTTCATTGAGATAACATAAAACCAAACGAAATTCTTTTCTTATACAATAGTAACCGATAACATTGGATAGGTAATCCATAATTTACCATACATTCTTCCAAAATCGAATTGAACTAATTCATAAACAAATCTCACTATCATCAAAAACCACTGTTCTATTCATTTTAATTTATTTATTTTCTATTTCAGATCTCGTCTAGTTATTCTATCGAGTCAGCATGAAGTAAGAAAATAAAATAAATATCTTCTAGTTTTACATATACATAAATCCACTCTTTTTTTCTGTCAGACTCGAAGTTTGCAACTATAGTGGATTTAAAATCTATCCCGGACATGGCAGACGTGTTGTTAAAATTGACGGCAAGGTTTGTTTGAAAAAAATATTCTTGTGTAAGGATATTGTGTCCAATTTTTTTGCATAGGTACATATTTACTTGAATAGAAAATGTCAACGATCAGCTGATATGCGCCGAAATCCACGTCGTGTTACATGGACACTTTATTACCGTCGTAAACATAAGAAAGGTGCTTCCGAACAAGAACTTAAAAAACGTACTCGTCGTAATATTAAATTTCAACGAGCTATCACTGGTGTTTCCTGGAACGAGATCCTTGCTAAACGTAACCAACAGCCCGAATTTCGAAAGGCTCAACGACAAGACGCCATCAAGTATGATTCTATAAATTTCATATAACTGTTAGACAGTAGTTTATTTATACAGTGCTGCTAAACAAGTTAAGAAGACCAAAGCTTTACAAAAGAAAGCTGCACAATCGAGTGTTGTTAAGGTAAATTCGTTTTTGCAATCTTTATGAGATTTAAGGTTTTCATTGTTTTGCTTTTCTAGAGTGGTAAACCAGTGAAGAAACCAGAAAAGATTCAAAAGAACCTTCCAAAAACTGGTCCAAAGAAAGGCACACAACGATAAACGAACTACAATTAAATCTATTGCCGTCCCGTTTTGTTGCTCTGTTTTAGCAAACGTTGCGTGCATTCATCATTTCTCTGTACATTTCATCTAGTTTTTATTCTTCATCATTATTTAACAAGATGAAATAAACAGAGACGAAAAAGAAGAATAGCAATTAAAATCAAGAGTATTGCTTCTACTCAAGGATTCATCGAAATATTCTCTAATAAATAGAGACTTCAATAAGTATTTCGAAACATAAGATGTAGATAGTGTGCTTGTTTTTCGATGCATTACATTGGATCAAGTGTAATGTGCAGACGAAAAGTTAAAAAGTAGAATCTTTTAGTCTTACCACAAACTGCTAGAACACAGTAAAGAAAGAAAAGCAATTCTACAGAAAATGAACTTACTGAATGGGGGAAATAATCGGTTTCCGCATTCTTCATCAAGAATTTTTGGTGTGCGAAAAAGTTGAATATTTGTTCTCACAAGTCTACTCCTTATAAAAATGAGTATCACTTCCAGAAAATGTGTTGTAGACGACTCGGAAATATCTTAGTTTAATCAAAACTATTTTCTCCATTAGATGGAATTGCTGTCAAAGTTTATTTTTTCTTAATAGAATTCTTAAACTTGTTAATTAAAATTTGATACTTACACTGATAGAAAATTCTTTAGTTTTATCAAATCATGTTTCCTAGGCGTTGCGAGTTTAGAAAAAATTTCATTATTGAAGTTTTGCCTCGCATGAACATTGCTTACGATTTAAAATCAAGATTTATTCTTGAGGAAATTCGCTAGTAGAATAAATGAAAAATGATTTCTGTTACCAGTTCATTGTGAATTTTCGACCCATTAGTGTTTCGTCATTAATCATGATGATCAATCGATAGTGAATCATCACTAATAGACGTCTCTATGCAAAATTAAATCCATTCAGATCGAAGTCATTTATCCTCTCGGTAGCTTAAAATCTATATGAGATGTTGCATCTATTGAGCAAAAAAAGTATTGTTTTGACACATAAATTGAAAGATTATACTGATACTACTTTGTAGCCATGTCTTGATATTGGGCCAGACTATCTTTTGGATGCATCATGAAAGAAATCTAGCAATATGTAAAGAAGTTACTCTATGCTGTTTATTGATATCTCTTTTGAAATTTGGATGTAAATAAAGAACAAATAGAAGAAAGAAAAACTGTCTACGGCAAATACACACTGAATGATTGAAGTGGGAGTAGTAAAAAGAGATAGTCTGTATTTATGTGGAACTATTTTTAACCAGGTAAAAAAACCAGATTAACGTTGATCGAGGGTCTTTTGTTCTTGTTTCTTCGGTTGATTTTCTTGCGACCATGAGCCATATGAACCCGAATATTTTTTGATATCTTCTTGGGATAGAACGACTGGTTTTTTAACTACTTCTTTCACTTGTTTATCAATGACAGCTTCAAGTTGAGGTTCTAATAAATAGAATACAAAAAAGACAGACAGTTTGATCTCGATATTACGTGAAAACAAAGGATCCGTTTACCTTTGAATTCAAGTTTTGGTACTGAAAGAAGATCTTCTGTTTCAGCACCAAAAGAATGTTTCAATTTATTGAGTGTGTCTTCAAGACTTTTACGAACATCAGGTGTAGCATCGACAAGACCATCTTTTGTTTGTCTAAATATATATATTAAATTTTTTTTGTTTTCGAATATTTTATTCAATTTGACAGAAATAACTGACTTTCGTTTATCATAGTAGTCACGAATTTTATTAACAAACAACTGTTGAATAGGATCTGTAGCTTGTTGCTTTGATTGTGCAAGAGGTGCACTTAATGATAAATGACGAGCAACAATTAAACCATATGAATTACGTAAAGGCGAAGTAATACAACGATTCAACATGATTGATATTCTAGAAATTAGAAAATTTTCGCCATTAAAATACTAGTTTAACGAAAAAGGAAAATTGTTTTGTTTATTGTTACTAGTGGTAAATAATTTTTTTTTCTCTTCCATTTTTTTCCAAGACAAGCCAATAGAAATTAGTCCGGCAAAGAGGCCACTAGATACATGCATATATATGGTTGATGGTAGAGATCGACCTATATATGTATGTACATAGGGAATAAAGCTCTTTTGAATTGAGAATTCTTTTATATTCCCTCTGTGTTAGTCATGACGTTACGTCTAAATGACGATTTCAGCGATGTGATTTTTTTCTATTATTTATTTGAGAAATAACAAGTAATTATTTACATTTGAGACAATGGAAACTATTGAATTCAATATATTTTTTTGTTATTGATGAATAGAACTAGAGCTTCGTCTATGTAAGAAAACATTCTTTTATAATTGTAAAATGATGTCAATAGAGGCAACAACATCATTGGATACTTGAATTTAAGATAGAATAAGAAAAGAAAACGCAGTCGGATTATTTTTGCTTTTCGCATGTAACGTAAGGTCCCAAACAGACCAAAAAGATAAAACAGAATTAACCACTAAATCGTCTCAAAAAGATGACTTAAGTGTGAATTAACCAACCACGTTGCTTAATTCTGTTTTCTTTTTTTTGGACTGTTTGGGGCCTAAGAGAATTAAGTTATAGATATGAGCGTGATATTCAAAATTCAATGCACTAATAAGAGATAATATTATCGTTGGCATTTATTTTTTTTTCTAAATAAGGGTTGTTTGAAAATCCTTTGACACAATTCGACTCCGTAGTAATGAGATTTAATCGAAAAGAAAGACACTTAATTAGATTTTATGTTCTGTGGTACCAGCTGCTTGGTTTCATTTTCAGTTCTGTTCTTTTCTTTTAAATATTTATGTGAAACGTAATGACATTGCATCACAATCATCACTTTTACATCGGATGATAATGGACTTACAGGGTACGAGTCATCCATTACGTGAGTCCAAAATTCATCTACTGATTGTAGAGCTCCATTATCTTGGCAATGTTCTATTAGCGTGTTGTATTATCTCGAAAAACTCACTTTTTGTTACAGTTTTTTTGTGCTGACGTAGATATTTTTATGCACCTTCTGTTCTAATTAGGTGTCAAAGATTCAAAAAAAGCATTTCATTTCATATCCCTAATATTTTTCGTCGCAATTTAAATAGTTTATATTTCACTTTTATAAAAATGATCACTTTAATAATTGCCAATTCATTCTGAGTAGATGCTTCTTTTACTTCTCTCGTATTGTTTTCAACTATAGCTATCAAGATTTTGAACAAGATGCTCGTTTCCTGCTGTTTCTCTCCTGCGTTTTTTCCTCTTCTGTCAACCGATAGGCAAACAGTGATAGCAGAATAGAGAATGTGTGTGAGTGGATTCAATATGACCTTAGCCTCATCTTTCTTGCTTCACCCAATAGAACAAGAGTATTGCTTGGTATATTGATAGTCTTCTACAAGAACAGAAAATTTTTCTTTTCCGAGTATGAAAAAATACTCATCCGTCATGTTACAAGAAAAAAAAGACGAGTGTGCTTTTTCTTCCTCTTTCTTCTCTTTTAGTGATTCTCTTTCTGTTTTAAAACAAAATTTTCTAGGAATTTTTTGTCTTTTTTAAAAGAATATATAATTCATTGCTTTTCATCATCTACTCATTATTAACATTAACATTAACATGGGTGTCAGTACGATGGAAAAGAAAAGTTATACAAGAGAAGAAATTGCTCAACGAATTGTTGATTACGGTGATATACTTGTTATACATAGCAATAAAATCTATCGGCTTAATTCCTGGATAAAATATCATCCTGGCGGTGAAATGGTTATTTTACATATGGTCGGACGGGTAAGATTCGTTATTTCAAATAACAAAATGAGAAAAAACAAGAAACGATTCGATAAGAATTTTTAGGATGCAACTGATGAGATAAATGCTTATCATCCCGATCATGTTTTACGTCATAAATTACCATTATATTATTTTGGAGATGTAAATAAGGAAGATTCTGATACATATCAATCGATTATTCCGCCGCTACAATTTAGCAATCATAAAAAGGATTTGAATAATAACCGTGGTTTAACTGCTGAACTTTTATTATCTACTGATAATGAAAATACGATAGATGCAGCTGACCAAAAAGATATTGTTGAAAAATATAGGCAACTTTATTCTAAACTTCGAACCCTAGGTAAGCAAAAGAAAATTTTTATTTTTTCTATTTGCTAAATCTCGATGACCATTGTTTGACATAGGTTTGTTTCAATGTAATTACTATGATTATGCACGAGAATGTGTACGATATTTGTTTCTTGCATTTTTTGCTTTTTATTTTTTTACTACGGCAACAAAATCATGGCATTATTATTTATCTGCAATATTTCTTGGTGCCTTTTGGCATCAATTGACATTTACAGCACATGATGCTGGTCACCTGGCTATTACACATTCGTACCGTATAGATACGTTTATTGGAATTTCTATTGCAAATTTATTAGGTGGAATTTCAATTGGATGGTGGAAGCACCATCATAATATTCACCATCTTGTCACTAATTCACCTGAACATGATCCAGGTGTGTATAAATATTTGAGATAGATATTTGTCATGTATGATGAATCCTTTGGAGTGTAGGTTTAAAAAAATGAAAACTGAGAGAGCAGAAGAAAAACAAAAATACGTGTCATGGTTATAGAATAATAAAAATAGATAATCTTTGTTTATCTGACATATTATAGTTTCAACATGAGATTGTTAAAGAAAACATTAATACACAACAAAACCCTTAATGAGTGTTGAAAATGATCATAAATCGTAGTTTTTCCTAGTGGTTTTTATTTTTAGAAAGTAAAAATGACATTATCTCATTTTTGTTATTATTTACGATGAGGACAAGAGTGCTTTCAAGTGTAATATTTTTACTTCGTATTTTCGACGTAGATATTTACTTTCATCACAGTGATGATAGATAGTATCGCAAAAAAACTAGAAACGGAAAGAAAAACGACCTTTGAATTAAATAAACAGTTAAAATTAAATTTAAAGATCAATTTCAAGTTTCGTGTGTACGCATTAGATAAATGTAAAACAAATTGCTAGATTATGGTCGTTCTATTGAGATTCTAGTCAATAACAATATATGTAAAACACGGCCAACGATGTATTGACCTTCCATTTTATATCTATAGATAAGCCTATTCTTAATCAAAGCGTCCTTGAAATTTAGATAAAAAAGCAATGATCTCTTCATTAGATATTCAATCCATAGAAAAAAAAAGGAAACGCGACATTCTGGTGTTTATCCTTTGATGTGAAAATCTCGTGGCGTGAAAATAATTTTAGTCTGGGATTTTTAAAGGAGTATATTCATAATTAAGCTTATTTTTGAGCAAAATTTGACGTGAAAATATTGTTGTACTATTTTAAATTTTTATAAACTATTCTGTAGACTATATTTACGTAGAATAATTATAATCTGACAAAGAGGTTCTATGGCAGTGTACTTAGTCTAGTGTGAAATTCAAAAGTAGTTTTCAATTAAGGCAACTTCTTTAGTTAGACAATGTTCTTTTCCTCTGACTATATGATCTATTCAATTAGAAATAGTAACTATAGCAATGAAATTAAAAAGTAATTATATTTTTTTTACAATTACTTTAGACATTCAACATTTACCATTTTTTGCTGTGACAGCAAAATTTTTTCAATCAATTTATTCTACTTACTACAAACGTATCCTATCATATACATGGGTTTCAGCATTTGTCATCCAATTTCAGCATTTTACTTATTATATAATAATGTGCTTTGCTCGGTTTAATTTACAAATTCAATCTTATATTTATCTTTATAAGCATTCAAATGCGCCATATCGTTATGTAGAAATCCTAACAATATTGATCTATTGGTGTTGGTTTATAGGTTTATTATCTTTAATTCCCACGTATACAGAGCGAGTTATCTATTTGCTACTGTGTTATATGGTTACAATGCCGTTACATGTTCAAATAACCTTGTCACATTTTGGTATGTCAACAGAAGATTATGGACCAAGTGAATCATTCGCAGCTAAAATGCTTCGTACAACCATGGATATTGCATGTCCAACATGGCTAGATTTTTTTCATGGCGGTTTACAATATCAAGCTGTTCACCATTTATTTCCGCGTATGCCAAGACATAAGTTAAGACAAGCAAGTGATTTCGTTAAGAGCTATGCTGATGAAGTTGGCCTTAAATATCATATGTATGGTTTCGTTCATGGAAATATTAAAGTCCTCGGCGCATTAAAAGATGTTGCAATGCAAGTTAAACTCATGCGAGATGTTGCAAAAGCAAATATTATGTTTAATCTTCATTAATCAACTATTTTAGTTGCACTAGCTTACGTTTAACATGTAGTCCTAAGGTTCCGATGTTGTATTTTTCTCGAGAATGTACTTGGCAAAGACATAGGTTATGTTCTTTGTTCCTTCTTATATGTGGCTAAAAAATGGTAAAAAAATATATGAAAACAAAATATTATGTATTGAAAAGATTATATCTAAATTGTTGTACTATATTTAGGCAAGCATAACGTACAAATAGTAAAATTCAATTAGACTCTGGTTGTCAATTGTTTAAACATGAAGATTATTTTCATGGATATAAATGCTTCGAGTTGTTGTCATAACGCATATGCTTCTTCGAGCTTCATAAGACTAATGATGTTGGTTTCGAATATGGAACTCTATATTATTGCTGTCTGCTACGATGAACTATATTTTTTAATTTGTTTTTATGTCAAAACTGATTAGATTTGATTGATAGTATTAGTAAAGCCTATGAATATTTTTAGATAACTTCAATGAATTCCTTTTTTTTGGAACCATAAATCGAATAAATCATGCTGGTTTAGAATACAAGAAACTCCAATTCTCACAGTTGCGATAGATAATTCAATATGCGACTGAGAATTCTTATTCTTAATTTTACACTTTTCAACATTTTGCATTATTTTTTAAGTGTTTCCTATACGCCTATGAAAAAAATGCATCTGTCATCAGTCTTCCTTTCTTTTTTCATGATTAACAATGAGCAGCTACACAGGCAAAGAAAAAACAATGGGGGCGACAGTTTTTTCAAATGTAACTGAAGCTTTTTGATGTCATTTCTTTTATTTTTTTTGTTAGCAAAAGAATGTACTTACGTTTTCTGTACGCGTACAACTATCATAAAGCACTGAAAATAATAATGGCTAGTTCCTTCGCGAAACGACTAGAATTCTTGGCGAGAAAATCTCTTCATTGCCACGAAAATGTTAGGTAAACTTCTTCTCAATGGAAAATCGACATAAAGTATCGACTAATTAAGGTTCATTGATTGTTTATGTTTTGTTTGCTTCCAGGTGGTCTAAGATTATCGAACCAAAAGTTTACTGTCTATTCTGATAGACAGCGACATCTTACTTTCTAATTCGAAAGGTGCAGTTGTAGTTTCACTTCCTCAATTCTAGTTTTGATGCAAAATTGAGTTATTAAACTTAGAAAATAGAAATCTTCTCGTCTGATTCAATTCGCTTATCTCGTTCAACCAATGATGGGACGTTGATGCCTGGTAGGAGGTAAGGTAAGGAATTATTACCCAGTGGTCAAATCAAGAGCTGCGCTTGGAATATTTACAAGTGTGCAAAGCAAAAGGGATATCTTCAGAATATTTATAAATCATCCTATGCTATTTGATTTTCCTGTGATTGAAAGAACATAAAGTTCACGTGGTATATTTTGCTGATGCTGTTTTGATATCGATAATCTTAATAGCTAGATATAGTATAACAGAAAAAAATCTTTATTTTTATTTCGTGACTTGAATTCTTAATTTATCTTTTGTTATGTAATATCGTGTTTAGTTTCTTTATATTCTCATTGAAACATATCACATGATCCATTTCTACCTACACGTATAAGTTTATCATAGAAAAAGTTCGTGCAATATTTTTTTTAGACTATGAAAACCATTTGATTTATACGCACATTTCTGATAGGAAAGCATACATGAATAACAGTTCGTTGATGTCAGCAGCGTCTACATAGATAGATATTCTAGATTTCAATTCGAAACGCCTATCAAATCGCTATGTAAGACATAAGCTACGTAATATAATATATCGCAGATGAACATGATCGATAGTGCGCATCAAGATTGCGAGACGATAGTATCAATTGTAATTTTTTATTCTCAGTGAAATATAGTTAAAGTTGAGTTTCTTGCACCGTAATATAAAGTATCTAGAAAAGCTATACATCGCCAATTAGTCGGTCACATACGCAATTGAGTTAGCGTATTTGATGTCTATTTATAAATTATTTTGAGTTTATGATAGTTACACATCAAGCGTAGGAAGAAAAATAATTTCGATTAGAAACAATGATCTTTTTATTATAATTTCATTAATAGATAAAATACTTTTCTAAACCAGATTACGGTTTTTCGTTAGATCATCTTGCTTGTTATCTGATATAATTAAACAAGAATATGGTTTCTTATTTGGATAATTTATGTTTTCTTCTTTAAGATTAAATATACTCGATGGATGAGGAACAAGTTACAAAAGATATTCTGGACGCAAAAGTTCAACTTGAAGTAAATGACTATCTACTGATGATGAATTACAGGCAAATCTGACATAATTTCTATTTAGGTACCAGATACATATGCAGTTTCATTAACAAATCCTTTATCTTATTTTCGTTTTCGTATTGTTCCTAATCTAGAATTAAATGGATTCGATAGATCTTTAGGTTCATTGCAAATTCACCCAGAATGTGATCATTTTATTGAATGTGCTCTTAGTACAAATGGTATTGCAAAAAATAAGAATTTATTTCACTCGATCAACTTTTTATTTTTCATAAAATATTTAATTCTTTAGATTTTGAAATGTTTGAACAAATATTATGGCTTATTAAAGATGAAAATAATCTATATACAAGAAGAGCATTGATTAAAAAATATATTCGAGTGTGTTAGTTTGACCATTTTAAACTTTAGCCCGAATATTGCATTATTTTTTTTCTATTAAAGGTTGTTGTGTAACAGATGACGCAGTTAATAATTCTGTTGATCATCTTCTTACCTATCTTCATCAAAATGTAAGTTTACAATTGTTTGATTTCTAATAACAAAGAATACATAAATTCATAGTTTGAAAATACATGGCAATTTGATATAGGGCTTTTGTTTGATCTTTTACATGATGCGGGTGCTAATGTTGAAAAATTGATTACTCTATTAGAAGATGTAAAGATAACGGAAATACTAAATGAGTAAAATTTTCTAAGAGAAAAATTTGCTTATCTATCCTCATTGTGTTAGTGTTCAATTGAAATCCAAACTTAATTATGATGATCAAACGATCAGTAAAGCGTCGACAAATCAAATATTAAATTCTATAAAGCGTGTTTTTCGAATTGTTCTATCGTTGGCATTTTTTCAAGTAGAAAGGTAATATTTAATAGATTATTTTCAAATAGGAACTTTTGATTTTCTTATTAGACTAAATTCAACGTTATCAAATGATAATCATCTGTTTCTATTTTTACTTGGATTTTATCTTCAACTTGATAAACGTTTTCAAGATTTAGATATTATTCATTTAGCAAGACGTTTAATGGTCAATGGACTGTCTTCATTGACATCAACATATTGGAATGAAAAAGTTAGTTGAATCGCACTTTCTCTATAAAATTTTAGCATCAATCACAATGGGACAAAACTATTTATTCCTTTAGACTCTCTTTGAAAGCTTAGATTGATCTTGTTACTTTTTTGATTCTTGTCTGAAAGTTGAGTATTCAAAACCAACATAAATAGAATTCATGTACTTATAAGAGGAAATAACTTCAGAGGATTCTAGCTGCATAACGAGAATTTAAGAAACTCTACAACTTGGCACCAAGCAAATTGTAATTGAATATTTTCCCGCGTTAAGCTACGGATTCCTTTTTCTTGTGTTCGATATATCATGAGCGAAATCGAGGCAACTATCCTACATTGAAAACATCGTTAGACTAACTTTGATTTTATTTCTATTTTAAATTTTTAGCGTGATTTGCTTGTTGAATGTTTATATACTTTATCATCGAAAAATATTTATATTATTGAACTCTTCCTTAAAACCAATGAACGTACTGTTCGAGTTCGTACTCAACTTGGATTGTTGCATTTAAAACGATTAGTTAATATGATTGAACATGAGAGAAAAAGCGAAGTAGGAAGAGAGAAAACAATATTCATTTCTTCAATTTCGATTTTAAAGGCAACGATCATTGGTGAAATAATTGCAGATAAACTAAATCCACGTCTATTCGAAAGGCAAACGGATTTCATTGATTGCGTACGATTACTCGGAGATATTATTGATAGTTATCCACATAGCCAACAAATAGTAAAATTTCCACGGAACAGTTTTTCTTTCGAAATTCAATACAAATTATTTTAGGATTATTTAGCAAAGCTCTACGATAAAATTCATCCATATTCAAGAGCAGGTCATGAAAAACTATTTACACATGAAGTAGGAAATTGTTTTGAATTCAAAATAACAAAAAAAATGCTTTCTTGTTTCTTTAGCAACATTTAATTCTTTTTGATGATTGCCAACGATGGGCAACAATGCTTAGATCCTGTCCGAATGAAAATGATTTTCAAAAGCATCTTAAACCAAAATAAACTGTCTTTTATCTTTCACTACTCACATACAATCAACAGACAAAAATAAAGTCAAATAATGATTATTTTTCAGATAAATATACATAGAATAAAACCAAGACCGAATCATGAAAGGTCTGGTTGCACTCATTACCGGTGGTGCATCAGGTTTAGGCCTTGCGTGTGCTAAACGATTTACACAACAAGGTGCACGTGTTATTATATGTGATTTGCCAACATCTAAAGGAAACGAAATCGTTGAAAAATGGGATTCAATATCGAACGCCCCAGCACAAGATCCTGATGAAAATGTAAGCTAGCATTGGAAAATATTCTTATTAGATAGTCACATACTGTTCGACCATTAAAATATAACTGATTAGAACCAGACTGGTTCGAATATAGTTTTAGAATTTTTTTCTTGAATAGCATCTGATTCTGTTTTTAGCTTTTTGTGATTTATTTTTCTCGGAAAACAAGTATTCTATTTATTTGAACGCGATAAATTAGTGCATTTTACAAAACAGCGGCTTTTGCATTTATGCTTTAACCGAAGCCTTTTCCAAGGCACATACTACGAATCGCATCTAACGTTTTACGTTTTTTTATTATCTAATCAACATGAGATAATTGGAAAGTATGCTGATGGTTTTTTTTATCTAGTCACATCAAAGCGGGCAACCTGTTGCTGGAAATGCTGGAAAATCGAAAACTTCAACTATGCAACTACAACCTCCGGCTTTCTTTCCGGTTGATGTAACCAATGAGCAACAAATACAAGATATGTTTAATCAAATTAAAGGAAAATATAATCGTCTTGATGCTGTACTCAACTGTGCTGGTATTGGTGTTGCTTTTCGAACCTATAATATAAATAAAGTATGAATTAAGTTAAACCAATTTTCGTTTTAATACCATTTCTCTCTCTCTATTTAGCGTTCGATGCATGGTTTTGATGAATTTAAACGTGTTATTAATGTAAATGCTGGCGGTACATTCAATGTTATCCGTTGGGCTTGTCATGTTATGGCTGACAATCAACCTGATCTTCAAGGACAGCGCGGAGTTATTATCAATACAGCATCTGTTGCCGCCTATGAAGGTCAAATTGGACAAGTAGCATACGCAGCATCGAAAGGTGCAATTGTATCAATGACGTTACCGTTAGCACGTGACTTATCCAATATGGGTATACGAGTTTGCGCCATAGCTCCTGGTGTTTTTCATACACCAATGCTGGCGTCCTTACCTTCAAAAGTTCGAACGTTATTGGGTAATATGGTTCCATTTCCTGCACGGCTTGGAAATTCAGATGATTACGCTCATTTAGCACAAGCAATTATTGAAAACCCTTATCTTAACGGTGAAGTTATTCGTTTAGATGGAGCACTTCGTATGCCCCCTTAAAAATTATCAATAGAAAGCAAATAAACAAGCATAACTTAACTTTCTTTCTACATGTGTTCAAGCAGTTCTCTTCAGACAAAATTTCTGTTGTTTTTTGTTTTCGTGATGAATTGAATAAAAATTCAATCGGTGCCACAAACAAAATCGGATTCTTTTTATGAAAGAAAGCTACATGTACATTTTATAATATGTGGTTTATCGTCCGAATCGTTTTCCTCTAGTTCTTGTTACGATACATCGAAATCGGACGTAGAAAATTATTTTTGATTGTATTCGAAACTATTTCGGACATTTGATTCTCGCTGATGAGCACCAATGGAACAATTAATAATTGACGACGTGAACAAACAGTTTGTTAACACCACAAGAGACTATTGCAGAAATGACACGATTATTGCGTAGGTTGTATGAGAAGTTTTCCGCGACCTCAAAAAACCTCCCACTCCTCTCTCTATATATAATTGAAATTTTTAATAAGATCCTTGAGTTGACGCTATGAATCTGACCATTGAATTTGAGATAGATGTATGCATCGAACTATTTATTTAATTTCAATGAACTATTTAATTTTCGAACAAACATATTTGATATTATCGTTATAAAACTCTATAGATTTAATCCGACGGTAGAAGCAAACATCTCTGAACAAATATCCGAGAATTTAAACATTACATTAAGTAGACCGCATGTTTAGCATTAGCTGCAGCTGTCAACGATTTTAAATGTCTATTGAATCTCGTATTGTCAAATATATGAAGAGCAAAAGAAAATATTGCAAAACTTTATCAAAAAAAACAACAAAAGAAATTCATTGGCCACAAAAATAAATGGCACCTTCTGATAGGTTTTTCTTTGAGTCTTAATACATTTTTGTTTGCAAATATTTTGATGCAGTTTATATGAACATTCTGAGTAAATATAGTTACTTGGTGTAGTTTGTTATTGAAGCTTAACTATTTAATGTCACTTTTAAGTTTTGGCAAACGTCGTTTGCCGAGATTACTCTAGACCAGACTATTGTCTACTTACCGGAGGAATACATTTGAAGTCATCACTATTTAAACAGCTGAAACCGGCAACTATCTGGGAAGCCTACGGTAACCTCTTACTGAGATTTTTAGATGAATTTATTTCAAATAAAGTAAGTCTTTAGCGTTGAATTACGGTAACATCGTATAATAGATGCACTGCTTCATCGTAGACCGAGTTTTAGTAATAAATACTTCATCTTTTTGATTAGTTCTTTCGCATGTCAAAACGTTTAAATTTTTCTTGAATCAAATACGATGATTTTACACCATGGCAATAACAGACACATTGGAAGTATCATAACGATTGAAAATCACAAAGCGAAATAGTTAAACATTATCTCATGTCTCGTTCTCTGATGGGAAAAAATATGAGAAGATTTGCTACTTGATGAGCTGGAAGAGGAAATATAATCATTCATATTACGATAATTAAAAAATTAAAATAGTTTCGCCTTGAAAATTCTTATTGTTAACGAAGTTGTGGGTGTTTTATGAGTTTTATTATATTAAGTATTTACACAACGTTGAATAAATAATGAAGGTTAATCATCGATCGCAAAAGGCTTCTTCACTAAAATGTTCATTTGTCGTCGAACTTGTAGTAAAAAGAAAAATGAGAACATTCCGTAAAACTGCTATATCCTTTTCCGTTAAGATTAAAAGTGCTTATACAACTCATATGTGTGATGTATTTACTCTATCGACAAATGAAACACATTTGTAAGGCTATTACATTTTTTAGTCCTGCTATTGAGAATAGATTACACTAGTCGCGAGTATCACAGGCTCGCCATTATCTTTCATTTGATAAAGAATAGAAAATTTGATTTTGAATTAGAATTCAAAAATGACCGATGATTAATTGTCTCTATGCGTATACAATAAAACTATTTTCATCTTGAAAAATTCATCATTCCATATCCGCTTAATCCAAACTTATAAACACGTATAACAGGATATTCGCATTTACCTACTCATAAAAAGCACATTAGCAATCTCTTACAGAAAAAAAGAAATTCAATTGATTTGTTTTATAGAATTTTATCTTGTATTTTCCCCGGGGGATTGAACACGAGTTTTATATGTATTTCAACACGTATATAACAATGACGACAAAGCAATTATATAAAGTATTCTAAGCGTACTTCTCCCACTCGATAATTGCCCATTAGACCAAACATAAGTTGACAGTCAAAGAGTGTAAGAAAAGTTGTAACGAAGATTAAAAAGTTACTCCCCAAAAAAGAGGGTCTCCTCGTCTGTTCATATACATATACACAGCTAGAAAAGATGAAAGCACGAATGAGAAAGCGTTCACTACTACAATCCTTCATAGCAGCAACTAAACACGTGAGATTTTTAAAAATGTGGAACTCACTTACTCTCACCAAATGTATTAATATAAAAAGAGTAAACCAAATATAAACAATATTTATATTTTATTTTAGTGTTAAAAAACAGGAACTTAGTGTTTGTCAAATAGTTTATCTTTATAACTTATCGTTTGTTCACAAATAATCGCCAACTCAACCACTTAGTCGAGTCTAATCGATATTAGTTTCTCTAAGTATTTAATCTGACGTAGTGGCTTTTCTTTCCTTTGTATGTCATCAATGCCAGATGTTTTTTTTGTCATTTTCCTATAAATATCAACACCGGTCTCCTTTTCTTTTTTAGTTACAACCAATACTCTTTTGTTACAACATCAATATTACAATAATCATGAAATTCAACATCCTATGTTACCTATTCATTATTTTTATAGTGAATGTTTCTAGTAGTAAGTTTTCAAATACAATATAACAAGTAACAAAGAAAACCTTCTTTTACTTTATTGCAGCATTATCATATTCTGACAACAAGGTACGTCTATACAATTTACTTCGATCGTCGACATATTTCAACCCTGATTATTTGGTATTTGCACGACGAAATGATTATCAAACAGCTACAACACCTCTTTCTGCACATTTCAGTTCTATCGAGGAAGATAAAACCCATATTAAAACGCGGGACAATTGGGACTCCGGCGAAGATTACTATTTTCAATGGGCGAACAGAAATCGTCGACCAGTAGAATATTTTACTGGACGAAAACGTCAATCGAGTAAAAGCGTACCGCCACCACGTCGTCGTTTTGATTTTAAAGGTCTTTGGAATAGTGGGCTTGTTGGATGAAAGGAACAAATTGATCAACTTCAATAAGGAACCAATCAATACACAGTATCTGCTCTTGATTTTGTTCTTTTGTGAAAAAAAAATTTAAGTTTTAAAAAAGAAACATTTTGAATCATTGATGAACGCACTCTTTTTATTAAAAGAAATAATAATAATAATACGTTGATATTGTGGTAGTAGGAGAGTATAGATCAATTACTTTTCGTTTGCTCATGGAGCTTTTCATGTTAATCAAAGACTCAGCTACATAGATAATATTTTCATCTTTTCGGATTCTTTTCTAACATAAAAACAGTATAGATTAACAGTTCAGTTTCTATGCTTATAAATCCAATAGGACTTTCAAAGACGAATCAGTTCTGTTGTCGATTCCAATTACTCTTTTCTCGATTTGTTTCACAAACATAATTTTCCTTTAAAACGATGTTCTAAGTGCATCCATAACTGAGATTATAGTATTTTATGAGTAGACCGGATTAAATAAACTTCATGGCGACTATTTTCCTTGCATAAATACATCGACACTTGTTAAAGTTGAAGAACATAACATAATTAGAAAACATCATAATCGATTTAGAAGTCAAACAATTATTTTTGCTTTGCTTATGAATTTCCGATTTAACAATTCCTTTCTTTATTTTAAAATACATTTTGTTTAGCAATTCAGAAGATAGTAGTGAGTACTAAGAAAATATTATATTGACATAGTCTAGTAAAATTTCTTTGAAAATACTTCCTCTTCATACAGAGCAATTTTCGATATGAGAATATATTACTAATTAGTTTAGTGACAGTTCAAGATTTTTGTTTTTCGTTACAAAAGAGATCTGAAAAGTATATGTTAGAGAATAATGAATTGTAGGAAATGTTCTTCATATCAATTATAAGCTAGCGGCTGTAAGAAATAAAACTTTATCCAACCATAAAAAACTTTCCATGCAATAAGAATTGAATGTTGTCCCGGGGAAAAAATGTATTAAAGTTCTTCCAGTGCCTATTTTACACCATTATTATTATTATTATTATTATTATCATGTCGTTATAAAATTTGACGGATTTTCTTTTCAGTAATCTATATAAGTTCAAATTACGCACATTTCATTGTGGAATAGTATTAACATTTGTAAAAGGCTAATGGTTTCCATATACATCTATTATATATTATGCGTGAAGTTTAGTCAGACCATCGCATCGACCCATATTAATCTATATTCTGTGCCTGTATATTTCTTTTTACTTACTCAGACATCTTTTGAATATCGTGTTCTTCGTATGAACTTTTATAATTTATTCGTCACAACTTTTCTTTTGCCTTTTGCCTATATGTTGGCCCCTTATTTAACTTGATACAATATGCGCTAAATAACTTACTTGTAGATTAATATTCTTATGTAAAATGTTAATCTAGCCGAATAATCTCTTGTTGAATAGTATTGTTTGTATTGATTAGGGAATTGATTGATCTAATTTTCAGTGCCATTGTGACGATGATCGTGGCGTTTTCACAGGTTACTAGTGTTCTTCGATGAGTAGCTAATTACTTTTACTTTTCTATTTAATACGTATATAGAACAAAAGTTGGTTTATTACAATGATTCAAAGAAGAAATGTTTCATTGAGCAATGGCCGAAGATTACTCAAATACAAATCATATTTAATACGATGCGAAGCATAGCATTTATGTAGTCCTTCGCGAGTTTTTTTTTGACCGTACGCATCATTTCGTCGTTTTGTGACCCGATGATCTCGAGAACCAAAAATCATAGGAAATTTGTTGAAACTGCCCATGTAATAAAAAGCGCATGAAAATCGACGGTTAACCGCGGTTTTACCGGCTCCCATTACCGCAGGAAGGATAAATACCGCGGTTTACCGTAAGAAATGATCTGGTATTCGCAACATGGGTGGAGATCAAAGTATCAAGATCGAACTTGAGAACTCTTTTTTCTAATTTTTAATCCGACATTTCGATCGCCTAAAAATATCGTTCGAAAATGACGATTTTGAAAGGTATTTATCGCTTCTGAACTTCGAGATAATTAAAATAACGTCATCAACTTATCTAAGTCAGTAGTCTATTCGATTCGTTTATAGCTGATCTAAGATAATGAATCGTGGAGATAATTAATCGATCAATGGAAATCGACCCTTAAGAATGTATCGCTAAGTAAGAATAGAGTTTTCTCAGTGATGAATATTTCATCATGTCGACATAAAAAGTATTCAAGATTTCTCTGAATTGAAGATTTTTCGTGAAGATCCGATTCGAGCTTCACATCGCATTCGTGTTCGAGTGAAACTTGAATGCCATCTAGTTGTCAAATGGAAAAAGTATTTTTATCGACTACTATTAGTGCATTGCTAATTATGTTTAGTACGAATGAATCATTATTTATCATTTATGCATTGGTTTGCTTTCTAGAACTTCTTCAATTTGTCTTATTGATTTTTTTTCGTAACTCATACGATAATAACCATAATGGAAGTGAGTAGAGCGGTATTGATAGAAAAAGTACAAAGATTTATGGATGAATTATTTCAAAAGATTGCCATGCAATTAGATAGCCCCAGATAAAATTCTTCCAGTTATTGTAATATGGTACTATAGCGTTTCATTTAAACATTGTAAATAAAGCTGTAAGACGCTTTTCTTTTCAGGCACCGATCGTAAAAATAATGCCTGATGCGCATTCTAAAAAAGACGGGATTAACTTTTATCAAATTATGTATTCGAACTTTTTGAGCAAAAAACGTTGCTCTATATATTTGAATTGCCATTTATCAGGCATGTGTTACAATCCCAGATTGAATATCGAGATCTAATTATCGTACTGGAAACTCTATGTTCGTTTTTGTGTACTCAAAAAAAAAAGAGTACACTATAGAATCGGTCAGTGTGTTCGACCGTCCGTTTATTCGATAACTCTTCACAATTACATTCGATTGAGCGGAAATTTTGTGCACAGAATTGTCTCATCAATATCTAGGTCGAGTTCGAAGATGAGAAGGACCCATCAAGAAATGGCTGAATTATCGAAAAAATTGTCATTTTTGATCAGACCATCCCTGAGGGGGAGTACAGGGATTTTTCAAAAAAACTTTTTTCTCAAAATTATCCACAACATATATAAACCATCTCAGTTTTTAACGCTGATTCTGAATATGGTGTTAGTTTTGAACTAAACCGTAGCTTTCTAACGAAACATCGCCTGAAAAACGTCTCAAAATGCACAAAAACTGCATTCAGAAATGAAATTGCCTAGTTTCTCATGATAATTTTGGTGTTCAGACATTCTAGAATGACTCATACGTCCCATGCACTTTTTGCAGTACACATAACTCTCAGATAAAATCCGAAGTTTCCACATTTATTTATATAGAAAACGACTTTGCATAAGTTTTAGAAAATAGGACAAAATAAATCTTGTGATTTAGAAATGAAACATTCACGTCTTGAAATTATTTATCATGCACCACAATCCTGGTTGAATATTTGTGACTATTGTAAATATAAAGTATTACTTTTATTATTAGTACACAATTCTGACAAGCACCTAGCCATCTTATATGAGTCATCAGGCACATATTCATGAAATAAAATAAAAAATGAATAGATGATTAAATTTTAGTTTATTCGATGTCTACGTTAGGATAACACGTTGTACAAAGCCAACTGAACCTGGTGATGATGCACCTAAATCATCGAATATCGTTATTAAATTATTCTCTGGCATAAGCCAATCCGATGGAATATGATAATAACGCTGAGTTGGTTCTAAACAATTAATTTGTGCTTGTTGACAACAGCATGGCGGTGTATCGCGGCAGATACCTTCTATTAACCAATAAAGGCCGAGATCATTTCCATTAATAAATGCATGACCACGATTAAGACCTTGAGCGTCAAGTAAAATAGGATTAGCATTAATGTCTTCTCGTACTATATGATCGAGATTGAATCTTGCTTGAAACCATGTTACTGGTTTATTAATACCTTTTGTCCATTGTGTATTCCATGAAACTTTAGATGAACCTTGTTCGGTATAGATTTGAAAATATTCTCCAACTAAACCTTTTTGATGTTCCCAAAGATTTGTTTCGTCGTTTCCTACTAATTGGCCATCGATCCATACATTTCCAACGATACCCTTATGTTCAAACGAGTTCGCCTGAATGCCATTATCAAGACCAAGTGAAATAGAAAGAATCTCAAATAGATATCGTTGATTAGGTTTAAATGTTGAAAGATCTAATGATATTGTTGCAGTTAGTGCACCTTGGCTATGATCATGATTATCAAATTCACCTAAATATTCCCCGTCTAAAAATAATAGCAATGCATTTGCTTTACGTGTTTCAACTTGAACTATTGTATGTGCCTGTGCTTGTGTTAATGTTACATTATGACGATACCATAAATAAATTGTTTCATCATTCGTTATTGTAAGTTGTTCTGTTGGATTTATTGAAGTAAAAACAGATAGATTTGATACAACAGGTTCTGACCATGTCTGCCATTGAAGTGGACCAATAACAATGGGAAAAAATTCGGTATTATCACTTTGAATACCACTTACATTAGCACTATCCCATAGTAAATTAAGATTATCATCAAATATACGAACAGAATGGCCAGTCATTGAAATATTTTTATTACGAAAAAGTACACCTAGAGTATTGTCAAATTGATTGCTAATAAAATGAAGTGCCGGTGGGTAAGAATATACGAATTGTTGCGTACCGGTTGACCATTTTTGACCATCCCAATAGGGTAATGGTGTACGAGTCGAATCTTGACTTAATAAAACTTGTGCATAATTAGCAATTAAATGTTGAAGACGACTTAACTGAGTATATTTTGGTTCATTGGGAGTACCATCAGCATGTAGAAGAACATCATCAGCATACATGGTAGTAATACCTGAACCAGCAGTTCGTCCATAATTATTTCCTCCATGCCACATGTAATATGCATGATAAGCACCGCCACCAGCAAACCATTCAGCTACGGAATAGGCAACATCAGCTGTTGTACGAATAGCAACCGCTTCACCCCATGGTTGAAACCAACCTTCGTTTTCAGTAAACAACATTGGTTTATCTGGAGAATCCCGATGATGACGATCAATCCAACCATCATCCAAACAATTACATGAATTGCATGTTTCAATAGTTGAATTAGCTGCATGACCATTACACATAATCCATGGAATATCTGTTGTAGATAGTTCATTGGTCACTAAACTACCACACCAATCGACATAAGCTTGATCGCCACCATTGTATTCATTTTCAATCTGAGCAAGAATAATAGGACCACCATTCTTAGCAAGATATGGATTCACATATTCAACAATCTGCATTGTAAACGTTTTCATAGCTGTCTTCCATGCTTCATTACTGGAACGAAATGACATGTTAGGTATTTGATTAAGCCATGCTGGTAGGCCACCATAATTCCATTCAGCACATACATATGGACCAATACGTAAGTTTACAAATAAACCCGCGTCAGCAGCATCTTGAAGAAACTGACTTAAATTAGCACGACCCGTAAAATCAAGTACACCTGGTTTTTGCTCATGTATATTCCAGAATACGTATGTTTGCACGGTATTCAAACCTTGATTTTTAGCCATTTTCATAATATAAGGCCACATGCCGGGTGTTGAACGTGGATAATGTATAGCACCAGATATAAGCATTGTTCGAACACCATTTATTGTAATAGCTCGATGATCATATGAAACAGTGTAAGGTGTACCTCGAACATCTTCGTATGTAATCGGACTTGTGAAAACATTGGTAAAGAAACCCAAACAAAGGTATACTAAGAGTAACGACGAATGCATCTTCGTGTTTGAAGATGGTGGTTACAAATGCTATGCAATATAAATAGATGATGATATCTATTTTTATCTAGCACATCCTTTTCTTTTATTGTTATTCGAGATGAAGAAGAAAAAAGGGTTCGAACGATATCCAAGTGACAGGGGGTAGACCGACACTAGAGAACAAAGAGACAAAAAAATAAATAGACGAAGTGTTTCGTAATCAAAGATTACATTGATATATAGTGTTTAATTATATGCTACAGAAGAACATAAATTCGACAGTATATCATGTAATATATTCGTTTTAACTAGTGCTATGAAAATTTTATCAAATGTTCTTTCACGATTTCGATCATGAACAAAATAAAGATTCTAATTATGCTTTATAAAAAAAAATCTATCTACTGAGTCACACACTTCTACCTTTGTATTCTATTCATTCGAAAATTGATCAATAGGTTGTAAAATTGACGACCCAAAATTATTTTTTCCTTCAATACGAGTCATAATGGAAATGTGTTACGGTCTGTGTTAAAATTCAACCGTAATTTTGAATAAACGCTATGAATTCCGAACGTATGATAGCGATACGTTTCTCATGAGACTAACAACTAAAAATAACCTTGAAGTGAAACAAAAAGTATTTCTACAGATATAGATAAGAAAGAACATAAAAAGCGTTGGGGACAAAATGTCGCGGACAAATCGTTGCATGGGCAAATCGTTGTAATACATCTATTGCTCAAAAATGAAGTGCTACTCAATATGATGTATTCAAAGAATTAGAAAAAATTCCTGGTTAATCTTTGGAAATGCGCCTGATGTTTAAATCTCTAGATTGATAACGATTTTAGTTTTATTTTATAACTCATTTTTTTCAATTAATTTATTATATTATTTTCATTGATTTACATTACAAAATTTGAATTCATCCTCTGAATAAACATTTGTAACAATATGCAATATTGCAACGATTTGTCCACGCGACAACTTTTTTGCAACGAACTGTCCGCGACATTTTGCCTCGCGATGATATGTCCGGTCCAGGCTTGCCAAATTGAAATTTCAGAAATCAGGAGTTTTTTATCAAAAAACAGGAGTTTAGCAGGAGAATTTCTTTTAGAAATCAGGAGAAAAATCAGGAGATTTTCTATTTGAAGTTAAGAGAACATTAAGCGATTTTCTCGTAGAAAATTCGAATTNAAATCTAAAAATCAGGAGAAAATATTGAAAATCAGCTCCTGAAACCAGGAGATTTTCTATCAGGATAGCTGTCCAAAAATCAGGAGTCTCCTGGTCAAATCAGGAGGTTTGGCAAGCCTGGTCCGGTCACCCATGCAACAGATTATTTTCTACCATGGTTTGAAAAAACTAAATGCTGTCAAGAACACCTTCGACATCTTTTTACCTAGTATACATTATATTTAATCTCGGTTTAGAAAAATATTTCAAGAAAAATCTTGAGTATTTCATGAAACCTACTGAGATATTCCACTGAAAAAATGCCAGATTATATCAGATTTTGTTCCTCAAAAATTTGATTATAATCATGTGATATTTTATCGCAGGATGAGTCGTATTGAATAAAGATCTATTATTTTTCACTAATTTTGTGATTTTATCACAGAACTCTTAAGTTCGTAACACTAAACAATAAATAAGCAAAATAATCCATTGGTTGAACTGAATGATGCGTGAAAAACGAACAGCATCTAATTCCACGGAAACGTCAAAACTTACTTGATATCGACCGTATGTATCAATGATCATATTCATGCGTGTGCATCCATGACGAACTGAACATATAGTTGTGAAATCATCAAGATGGTTGAGAATCCGATAGACAAGTTCAATTGGTAATGCCAAAAAAGGAATAATTTCATTTTCCATAAAGATAGCTGCTTCTCGAATAGTAGATTTTCGCAATGAATGTATGATGAAACTGCTTTTTTTCTTTTAATGATATTTTTTTATCAGATGCTGCTTATCTTCATCATGCTTTACTTTTCGTTTTTTGCCCAGATTTGTGAAAGAAGTGTAATATCAATGCTTCAAGCAATGGCACGCTTTTATACGCGTATGCCAATATAAAACGCACGCGTTCATTAACTTGTACAGTAGATAACAAATAAATGAAACACAGAAGGGTGTGGGTGTCCAGAACATCAGCACCCACACCCACACCCTTATTCGCCCTAATAGATGTGTGAATATCTAAACAAGAATAGTACAAAACATATCCCAATAATATAAGCATAGATACAGTTCAGATAATAATATTCATTCAGTTATACAATAAATTAATATGAAAAATACTTTTTCTTATATTTTGATGATCTGTATGAAAAAAGTGCGAACAAAAAAAAGCAGACTTTTAGTACTTAAAAATTTAAACTAAAGTAGACTTATTCTAAGATGAACTCTTTTTTATCGTTTTCGAAAAAATTATTTCATTGCCGCTTCATGTTTTTTTATATCAGGCTACAAAAGTGAAACAATATACTAAGTTATGTGAACATGAACGATGTATAGCTCCTCTATCTGTTTTTCTATTGAGTCACACATAAAATTTTGATTACATTCGATCGATGCAATTTTTTCTTTTTTTTACTCATTAAAGCACGAAAATTCTTGTAAAATATATCGTGTAAAGACGAAAATCAGCGTGTATAACACGTACACACTATTTTTTTTTCAGTCTGTAAAACAGTGAATAAATCCTATTTGGTTAGGGTACCGTACATCATTTTGTTTTGCTGAATACGCTCTTTCATTAAAAATACAGATCACCATATACATCTTTTCGAATTTGTTCAACACTTATAAAATGTAAATATGCAACTATATCAATCATCATTGATTCGTCAAACTCCTCATGTCTCATGTAACTTTTTTTCGAGTCGTAACGCGTCTCTGAGCGTTTGTGAATGATGGCACTTCACGCATCAGGACGCATCTAGAATGCAACTTTTTCGGGGGGTACAGGCCCAGAACAATGATTCCTGAAGCAGTATTCCGTGAATTTCCGGCGAAAACCTCCAAGAAACTCGCTGTTTCCGACCGGAACCCACCGGGAATTGTTCGGAATTCGATGCAGGAATCCGGAAACCGTATCCGGCTACCAGTTTTGACAGGTTCCTATCGATTCCGGCCGGAACCGGATCTTTTCACCGGAATACTGCTTCCATGAAAGCTCCGGAATACCACAGAACCGGCCGTTTCCGGGGCCGGAATGTTCCATCTGGGGACGCACCCAGGGTAACCTAACGCGCCTACACTTGTTCAGTATCTAAACGTATCATAACTCGTTTGCATTTGAAGACGCGTTAGGACCCGTCCAAAATGCAGCATTTTAAAGCGGGGGAACGCATCCAGGGTAACCTAATGCGTCTACACTCGTTCAGTATCTAAACATATCATAATTCGTTTGCATTTGAAAACGCGTTAGGGCCCGTCCAAAATGCAACATTTCAAAGCGTGAGAACGCATCCAAAAGCAAACGCGTTTACCTTTTTCTCCCAAAAAAATCAGAAATTATCATCACTCTGTGTTAAAATTGAGCCGATGCATCATATTAGGCTATGATATAACACGCAAATACCATGAAGAAAAGAGTGATAATTTTTCCAACGACAGTGTGAACCAAGATTTGAACCCATGAACAAACAGTTGATTAATAGTCGAATATAACTTGCGCTGAGTCATACATTGCTTGATATTGTTATTATCTTCATGAATCACATAAATTAATCGTTTTACAGTGCTTTTGACTTGTCTTGCTTTTTAAAATAAATTATAGTTAGGATATTTATTTTAATGAAATCAAGATAAGGCATTCTTTTTATCCATGAAATAACAGTGGGATCAAACTCAAAATTTTGGTTACTGAAAAAATTAAGAAAAACAAATATATCTGTCTTTGAAGGGTATAAATGTACATATATGCTGTATAATAATATTAATTAACATTTTTTTCATTAATATAAGGACACTATAACAAGTATTTTTTATAGAAAATGAGAATGATATATCACAACATATAAAATAAAAAATTTTGTCTGTGTATTTTTTCGTAACCGTCATACTGTAATCTTTAAGTCATCCATCCGAAATAGAATGAATGATCTTATAGCAAGAATTTTTGTAACTTACTTAATTTGTTTTGTTCGATCAGAGTATTGATTGATATTTGAATTAAAATATTTAAAAATTGTTTTTTTTTAATTTTTTAAATAGTTACGATGCGTTTTTTTTGTTTTTCTTAATTTCATAAAATAAAATTTACTACGATGCACTGTTCATTATAAGGAACAATAAAGAGAATTATACTAAACTCTGTATCAAAGAACTTTTTTGTGCAGTTTTTATTTTAAAAGCAATTGAGAGTAAAAACATAATATGCATCTAATTTACTTAGTTATTTACGACAGTGACGATGAAAATCCTAACAATGATGTCAAGATAATGATCTATCGTGTGCGCAACAGAAAGTACTTCTGACTTTAAGGAAATAGAAACATACAGTTGTATTTATAGTCTTATATTTTCAATAAACTTTTGTATAGAAATGCATTATCACAAAAATACTCATTTGATAAAATCAATCTGTTAAATCAAACCTTATTTGATTCAATCCTCAATATATAAACGAAGACTAAATTTTCGAGTTCAAAAGAAAAAATATCATGGATATCATACAAGTATTCAATAAAACTAAACAGATTCCTTTCTTACTTAACTGAATCAATAAGGGACTTTTTTTTACCGCTAATTAACAGTTTCTAAAGACGAAATATAACACAACGGCTTTGCTCCTAGTGCAATATAGCATTTTAACTACTGCACACTCCGTTGTACTCAAGCCTATTTTTGTATAAATGCAGATTTCGATAGCTATCATGCTTAGGCATGAATCAAAATCAAAACTAGTTTTGAAGTTTTGATTTTAGTTTGGAAATATAATCCTTTTTGGCGTATTTCAAAACGAAAGCGAAAACCTGAAAACCAAAAATATTAGATTTGCTGCACGTCTGACCACTCTTCATTGACAGTACCTACTATATAACTATGAATTCAGTTGTGTTTTGAAAATCAGTGTAATGAAACGCGCTTTATCTACTTCGTCGATTTTACTGTGTTTATTGGATAGCAAATAAATTGCATTTCAACTGTGGTAGAAGATCTAACGCAAGAAAAGACACAGATTACGTTCACACGCGTTTTAAATAGGAATTTAAACGCGCTTGTATACGTTTGCTCTGATTAACGCTAACAAACTCGTAGAAGCTCTTTAAGAGATTATTACAAACGCCTTTATCTGCGTTTTGCCATAACTCGATACCGAAACGCATCAGAACGCCAAAATTTGCAACATAAACGCATCTAACTGCGTCTAAAATGCGTTTCGAGATTACATGGGTGCATCTAAAACAGCTGCAGCTCTATTTTGAGCATTTTGATGATGGATACTGAGATGTCCATTGCTTTTTAAATTATTTACAACACGAATATTAACTTTAACCATTTTGAATTTTATTTCGATTATCTGAAGGTTGTAAAAAGAAATCACTATTTTCAATGAGAATCCGATTTAACAGTGCGATGCAATTAGTAGCAAAACACAAGTGAATCGAATGACTCATGTAGTTCCATTTGCCATTTCATCGCCGACAGAATAGGAGAAAATAGACGCATTAGGACAATGTATGGACTCATTTTCTATTCGTTTTTTCATCCCATATCAAGTTAGCCAAAGATCTTTGGCTACATTTTTCGTTCGCTTCCTACGACCGTCTAGACTCCAGAGGACACTCTTTTAAAAAATTACTCTCTCATTGATTACACCAAGTGCATAACTATGTTGTCTGTTCGACATTGAATAGATGAGATTGGTCCACCTAGGGATGCAACAAATCCAAAGATTTGGGGTTTGGTATCTTGAGGTTTGGATTTGAATTTAGGTTTGGATTTGATTTGGATTTGGGCTTGGGTTTGGTAACTATGTTTGGATTTGGACTTGGGNTTCAAATCTGAACCCAAATCCAAATCTAAGCCACAAATCTAATGCAATTCCAAACCCAAATCCAAATCTGAAGGAATTGGTCTCAAATACCAAATCTACTCAAGATTTGTTGCATCCCTAGGTCCACCTACGATAGGATGGAAACAAAAGAAATCCGTGTAGTGAAAATCGATTATCATTGTATACTGGGACTGGGATATTTATTTCTTGTTTTCGATATTACGACTGTTCTGATTGTTGAAGTTGTTCGTTCAATATAACAAATTTGATTAATAAATAACTGACAAGCTGCCTTGAAGTCTATACCTGTCATGTTGGTGTTCTCATAGAAAATTGTGTATTTGTTTCCATGGGGTTTTCCATTTACTACATATGTTTGTTTCAATAATTCAACCAAAACTGAGATCGGACTGTGTTGACAAATAACTTTCAATATCGATATTCTCACCAATCGCTAATCATTCAGAATTTAAAAGTAATGAAACATTGAATATGCTACTCATTTCTTTTATTTATCACTAATAAGAAACAGTTTTGTTTGAAAAATTTCGCACTTGGCAAACTTCAGAGAAAAAGCAATGTGAATTGATTTCCATATAGAAAGCTTAGAACAACTGCCTTTCATGATTAAATAATTTATTTTCTGTTACCTTCTCTTTTCTAGATCAATCCAACAACGGAAGCAACCGATCGGATTCAGTTCGATCGAGTAATTCCGAGTCAGGCACAAAATCAAGGCCATTGATTATACAACAGCATCGTCCTACGATCAAATCATGTAAAACACTCCAAGAATTTCTCGATATTCCCCATTTGAATGTTGGTGAACCGACCCAGGTCGAGCATTACAGCTACCAGAAACGGCCGTATACGGCCGTAAACGTTAACGTATACTGCGGTTTCTCACCGTAAATGGCCGTAGCTTGACGTTTTAGCATGCACTATATTACGACCGTAATTAATCGTGTCGTATACGGCCAATAACGACCGTAATACGGTCGAGAAATTGAGCATCCGACCGGTTACGGTTGTTTACGGCCCGTTGAAAAACGACCGTAATACGGTGCATACCGCACGGCTGTAAATTATGGTAAAACGGCCGTTTACGACCGTGTGGCTTTCACCTGGGGAGTGAATATTTTTAAAATGCTATTGAAATGCTTGCGAATCAGCCGAAAGGACAACGCAAAAATGAAACAAGTATTAAATTCGACGATGCTTTAAAAACGATTAATCCAAAAATAACTTATACGGGGGATGACAAGGATCCCGATTTTCTAATGTTGTTTCGAGGAAATCGACCCGATTTTACATGGTCGACCAGTGGAAACTACTCAGATCCAAGAAAACAGTGCGTAAATGGTCGTAAAAGACGTAAAAACGGTGTAAAACGTTGAAAAACTGCGCCGTTTCCCGTCAAATCGGAAAACGACGAATACACTGTTAAAAACGATGGCCGTTTTCTAGCGGAAAAAACGGTGAGTAAAACGAGCTGACCGATTACGGCGAAATAAGGTGAAAATTAACGCCTTACGATACCATTTTATAGCCGTTTCAGGCCTGTTAAGATGATCGTTCCGGCGATCGGAATGATTGTCCTGGGTATTACCCTTGGAATGTTGTCTCGGTTATTGAAAAGAAGAAGAAGAAGAAGAATGTTCTGCTACCTGATGATACATATCAACTACTTGAATATCTACGTAGCATCGTCCTGGTTTTACGTGGTCGGAAATATGCAGTGGGATGTTTAACAAATTATAAAATGATAATATTTGGTAAAGCATCAATCAATGATGATATTTTTACTTATGAAATTTTTCAATCGATGAAAATAAATGAACAGTATTGGCAATTTCTTCATTGCAATCGAACTGATTTAGGACGTGTTGATTTTTCTATTCCATTTGGTTTCGACATTAAAATAACATTGGGTAAATATTCGTTGAAAGAAGAATAAAATTCATTGGGAGTGATTGTGTTAAAATTGAGAATCTCTGAGACGCAAGAATTCGTTTTTTTATGATCATGTTATCTGTAACAGATTTTCATTCGTAGAATCTGTGTTGTACAAATGTTAATCATTCGAAAGTAGAAAGAAAAGAAGAGAGAAGATATTGACTCGAAAAAATACGACTTCAAGAGTATTGTTGTGTCTGTCACTTTTATGTTATCATCTAAATATCTAGTCCAAATACATAGGGAAAAAGTTCATTGATCAGTCCCATTTATTAGACACGACAAAAAGCTGTACAAAATCGATAACTTGAACGTTTTGCGTATATTCACATTTCATGTCGATTAGAAACACATGCAAATTCAACTGTAATTTTGTTTCTTCTTTTCTAAATATCGAGTTTTCAAATAAATTCTTTTTTTTTGTCCTCCATCATCGAAAAGAAAATACGTTTATTTTCGGACAGTAAATGTAATGTAATGAAGTTTCAAGTATTCTTTGATCGATATTTCATTCGTGTATAAAAAAAACAAAAGATTATTGAGAATGATAATTTGAATAAAGTGATAATGAGATAACGTGGCTCGAAAGATCTCATACAGTTATAAATCCTGATAGGACACTAATCAAAGATCATATACAGTTGATTACTAATGAAAATAATTGATGTTGAACTCCACTCTGTTCTTTCAAAGAATTGAGTGAGAAGATATTTTATCAGTTTTTGATCAACTGGAATTTATTCTTTGAATTTTAGGTAGAGGTGCAAATGGAATCGTTTATCGAATTACTTATAATAATTATGAATACGTCATGAAAATATCCAATAAAAAATCAATGAAAGAATATGAAATTGCTGAAAAGATGAATACTTATATCGATCCAAATATGCAAGCCGCTAGAATCATTAGGATGATCATTATCGAAGGTTTTGTGCAATCTGAACCCGTTGTAGGCATGATGACGAAAGAAAATATTCGCAAAGAAAATATATAATTCAAATTCTGAATCAATTAGCCATCGGACAAAAACTTGGTTATGTCTATCGAGATATTCGATTAAATAACATCATTTTACATCGTGATTCAGATGCATATTAAATCGATTGAGATTCATCAACCTATCATGGTTTTAAAGGTGGATTCATAACAGCATCGAATCCTGTGCTTAATGAATATGAATCGTCAAGTGGCAGACAAGTTTCCGCATATTATACTGATGACTGGGTTTCGGCTATTTATATGTTATTATTATCTCATTGCTCAAGCGACGATCATAAGACTTTGCAGTCATTTGCGACTGTAAGTTCCGTGGATGCTTTACGTTTACAGCGGGAAGTTATTTTGAAACTCAATGAAATGGAGTGTCAACGCGATAATTTAATGGATGTTGACGAACTATACGGTGTAACTATTGAAATTATTACAGCCATGAAGAATTTAGGTTTAGTAACATCAAATATTTAGTGTTATCTAATTTTTTTTATGCTCGTTGATGTAAATTGTTCTTTGCTGATAACGAAAATAAAAAACAAAGTCAAGAAGTCTTTGCTAATTGATTCACTTAAATTCTGTTTGGAAGCTAATAGAATCGTGTCTTTATCGAGATATTGTTGCCGACTGAAAGTTCACCGAGAGAAAAGAATAATTAGAATTCGGAAAAGCAAGTTGTGCTAATGGAAAAACGAAGTAGGTAAAATTTGAAATAATCTAGAGCTCGAAGAATATTTGATGCTAAGTGTGGAAAAGAAAGAGAAATGGATAGGTGAACAGTTGGAATGTTTTCTAGAAGCATCGAGACAGTTTATATTTCAGAATAAACAATATATGAAAAGAAATTGGACATAAAATGAAGATGATGAGACTGATTAGAAATACGTATGTCGCTCATTGATGGTTCTTGTTATAACTGAATGAATTGATGATGATGATGAAATTTGCATGGGGGAATTTTTTGTTTTCGATCTATGCTTTTCTACGTGTGAAAAATAAACTAGAAGGAAGAACGAAGGCGAATTCGAATTTCTGTGAGAAAATTTGATGTAAATTGTGAAGCAAGGAGGGTTGATGAATGGTGTTATTCTGTTTATCATTATTCATCTGTTCGCAAGTGCGAAAATCGAGCTCATTGCTAAGGTTCTGTTGATTTAGATATATAACGGCAATACTTACGTTCGATTAAAATATATGAATGAATGTGCTGAGAAGTTGAAGAGTGAAACGAACTTAAGCTCAGCACTGATGAGTGTCGATTTCTTGTACTTGCAACTAAATGAATGAATGAAAGAAGAAGGTGAATATTATTGGCAAAGGTTTTTCACTATAAACGAAGGAAGATGAAACAAACAATAGATTAATAGATAAACCAACAATGTAGATGAAGAGAGCGTAATTCGTAGAAATGCGAAAAAGCGAGTCAAGAAACTCGCTGATTTTTATCAAGCAAAAAACGATAATAGTTGATTTGAACTAAGCTTTTGTCAATTTGAAACATATATTGTTTTCAAGTAATGAATTAATTATAGATCACTTGTTTTCGAATGAGAATAGTTAATATAGGGTTCGTTATTCAACGAAGAAGAAGCAAAAATTGCAGAGGAGAACAAATATGATTACGGACGTGAGAAGTAGTTGAAATGGTAAAACTGAAAGAATCAATTATTCATTCATACAGACATCTGATCGTGTTTGAATAGTATTTCTTGTTACTTTCGATATTGGTAGTGGATTCATATGAAATTGAAGCGAAAACGTCATTGCTTGTCAATAATAAACTCAATTGAAGATTATTGTTTTCTTGGTGTGTGTACCCGTTGAGAAATAGAATAAATGGAAACTTCTGGTTGAATTGTGTATTATCCCAACATAATATCCCAGGCCGATCATCCCGAGTCGTAAACGGCCGTATACCTATCACTCATGGTGAAAAACGGCGACCGTATTTTGTAGTCGTTTACTGTTGTCGTAAACGAATTGTTACGATGAAATACGGCCCTCGTTTACGATGACCGTAAAAAATATCCGTAAACGGCCATCGTAACTAAACGCTAGCTGTAAACGACTGTCGGATATCACTGTAAACGGTCGGAGCCGATGACCGTAAACAATCCAGAAAACGATTGCCGTTTTTCTATCGTATCCTTTTATAAACGGTCGTTTACGATGGCTAGCTGTTCGCTTAAAATATAGTAGCATTTTTTAGATTATAGTTTACTCAAGCTATTTCATTGAAAAGTATTAAGTGACCATCCAGTAGGTGAAGTAAGCATCGCATTCGAGTAAACATTTCGATGCTCTTTAGAGCTAATCTTCAACGCCCATACTCATATTACTAGTAGAACCTTGTATATCCTATCGAATAGTATATTTCGATTAGCTAGACTTGAACTATTCTCCTGAAATTTCAAAAAATCCAAAAAATCCTGAATGCTTTTTTTTGTAAAATCTGGCCATAGTTACTTTGACCAATGCTCCAATTCTCGTACCTATGCTTCAAGTGGAACTCGATGAACTCCATCCAGTGGAGTTCACATCTTTTTCGTAGCTTGAAATTGGACGTCTGCGCTGATAGAATAATGCTAAAAAACCTTACTTTAAACTATGAAAAGTCAGCAGACATCAATGAATAGATCTCCTGAATTTATGTTTTTATCATGAGTGAAACGCTTATAACAAACCCTTTGATAAATATGGGGAAGTTTTAATCGAATATGGTGCTAGAATTTCATAGAACAACACAGTATTTTGAGATTTTTGGGACCATTATCAGAGATGAAAAATCTGATTTTACAATTCAATGAAATTTCTTGAGACCTGTTTGATGCACAAGTGTGAGAACTGAAATATTTCTTGAAATGAATGTGTGTATATTGAAAAAAAAGAATTCCAGGAGATTTTTGGATTTTTGAATTTGCAGGAGAACACTTCAAAATCTAGTTAATCCAAATTACCATTTGATAGAACATGTGAAATTCCACTAGGAACATGAGCATGCGCGTTGGGGCATCATAGCTTAAAAGGGTATCGACAGGTTTTAATCGAATACGATGCTAATTTCACTTACATGTGAAAATCATGATTACTTTTCACGAGGAGCAGCACAATCTGATATTATTACAAGAGGCATGATTTTTCGAAAGATAATCGAGTTAGTATCGACTTTCAACATACAATTGACTGAAATCCAAAGAATCAATTTCAAACAGAAAAAAACTCAATCGG